ATATTTCTTCATCAAGTTGATGCAGTGATAGCTAGATCTTGTTGTATTGTTGTTGTGTCCCATTTTTTTGCCCTTTTGCTTTTTTTTTGTCTTTTTCTGCAGGTCTAGAAGCAGACTCTTGTTCATTATTGTTTAATTTTGTGGAAACCCCCCCCCCCTCTCCCCCCACCTTTTCTTTTCCTTTCTCTTTCACCTCTGTCTCCATGTCTGGTCGGAATTACAAAGCATTCAATAACAATAAAGTTTTAAGTATCAGGCGTGACATTAAAAGCAGACGCTTTGATGCTCCACCTGAGAGTAAATCTGTAAGGCTTGTTACCAGCATTCAGACATCAATTCTGCTTGCTTCACAGCCAGACAGGATACGGTAAATAAAAAAAAAAGCATCCTGCAACCATCTGGGTGGCAAATTATTAAATGTGAAATAATTTTTTAATCAGAAACAAACAGATTTAAGATTTCAGTCAACTCTCTGTCCAACTAAGTGGCACCAAGGTGCTGTCGAACAAGGAGAAGCAGAGAAAAGAGTCCACCTTTTAATCTTTTATCCAGATCATTTCCAAAGGGCAGAATGATGGAGCAGACAGACAGATCAGACTCTGCTGGATCACTTGGAGCACAGACGATGAGAGCCGTGGAGCTGCTGGAGCAGGCTCGGGTCTGATTTAAGCTGCTGGTGGCTCTTTATAAAGCTGTAACACTGACCTACCATCGTAGTTAAGATCAAATCTTAAATTCTCTGATTTTTTAAAGCACAGCAGCAATAAAGTACAATAACGTTTGAGTTGGTTTGTGTAGGATCAAACATGCAAACACAATTTCTGAAGAAAATTCTGCAGCTGAAGGTGGTGAAAATGAGAAAAATAGATTTCATTTAGAGGTGTGGTTTACTGAAAAACCCTTTTTAATCTTTGATTATAATCTGTCACAGTTTTTCATCCAGGCTGAAAATGAAAATAGTCTCCTACACCAATCTCCTGCGATAGCTTCTGATAGAAAACAGACGAATGAAATGTTAGGATTTGAAAATCCTCACATATCTATGTCACACTGTGAATTTGCATTCATGGCCATGCCCATCTTGGCTCTGACCCACCCACAGAAAGGATTTTTGTTGCAGCAAGGAGAGAGCAAAGAGGTGTTTCTCAATGTCAAGGAGATGTCTTGCGTGGCCAGGCGCCTTGTTTACAAGAACACCGTCCTTCCTTCGTCAAAGAAACGGTTAAATGGAACAGAATTGCATCACGTGACAGGTATGGCAATGTTATGTTTTATACATATAAGTTTCAATATAAATATATAACGAGCCTTTTACTTTTTAAATTGTGTATACATTGGTTAAATTCAATATGTAAGACAGTTACTACCTGCTAGCCACCAATACTGCAACTACTAAGCAGCTAACTAACCATAGATAACTGATTTCGATATTTTACAAAAATCTTCAGATATCAACCTGATAGCTACAATTAGTTGACTTACATTTAAACTGGAAATTTGCCCCCGTAGTAGTTGCTGGCTTCTGATTCGCCATCCTTTTGAAAATACTGTGCTGTCTGCTGGGAAATTTTTGACCACGGCCAGGCTACAAAGCACCTCCCGTGCATCCTTGCTCAGCTAGCTAAACGGCTAACAAACGGAGAACAGACACCTCGGTAGAACATGAACATTGGAACACGCCTTGGTAAGGTTCCTTAGCATTGAGAAAAAAAAACACCCAGTGCCTTCGTGATAGTGACTTGCAACATGGCTGAACTCATTCTGTCAGCCAATCAGAGGCAAGATGTGCGCATTTCATTAATAACAATGAGTAATCCTACTGTTTTCAGCCCCAACAACTTCTGCATCTAAGAACAGGAGCATCATAGCTTTTGTTAATGACTTAAATTAACAAAAGGCATTGATTTACACTTAAAAAAAACAATGCAAATTCATTGAATTAATGAGTAAACCACACCTTCAATATACAATGTGATTTAACTGTGCAGCTCGAGACCTTAAGAGTATTTTTCTGATGATGATGCACCTATTTTGACACTTATATTTGTTATCCAATTGCTACTTGTCAACAGCAGCAGTAATGTGCAACTTTTGACCATTTAATAAACACAAATGCACATCAAACCCACAGATGCACAATCATCTTCTCAGGGTGCGCTCAAGTTTCACATCTTAACGGTCCTAAAATCCATCTCAAGTCTTGTAAAATGAAACCACTCGGACTGAACTGTTGTTCTGTTGAAACAAACCACTTAAAAGCCAAAAAAATAGATGTGTTTTTTTTTCTCCCCTGCCCCATTTAAAGGAAATATAATGGCTATTTGTAACAGAATCCAGGACAAAAGTTTCCATTTGTATAAAAAAAAACTGCTTTTATTATCTCTCTGCTGCCTGGTCATTTGTTTGGATATTTGCTGACAAAGGAGCAGCTGAAACGTGCAGCCTGCAAGGGTGCAGATAACTTGCGGTATGTCGGTTTACAGAAAACTGATAAAAGTCAGTGTCTTTGTTTTAATAACCATTAGAGGAAATGGCAAAACACCAACTCTTCCAACAAAAAACACATGCATTTATATGTGGAAGTTGTTTAAGGTGAATCTGAGGGCTTCGCTAAAATAAGCTCATTCTCCGACTGTGACCATTGGGTTCTTGTCTGAACACAAGAGAGTCTGAAGTCATAAGACAAAGACCCAGGGGTCCCATTCATCAGCCAAACTGGATCACGGAGAGAACGTGACCTTTTTAAAAACATGTGAATGCTTGTTGCTCACCAGGGAGAAAGGACGGTCACTGGGAAGACTCATGAGCACAGCAGGAACCACACACAGTCATGCACTCATGCAGATGTGGAGGTGAATTTTTTCTGAGATAATTAGAGGGAAGATCACGGCGCCGCCAACAGTCAGGAGTCTTTTTCAGAGTTAAGTAGGTTGATGCACCTGTCCCACAGCCAACAGACACCTGCAAACCAAACTGGTCCGGCAGGTGTCTGACACAGATTCAGCTGATAACCTCGCCTGTCAAGTCTTAATCATCTGATCTGTTGGGTAACGACTCAGTCTGCTCAGGAGAACCTCTCAGGACCAACATCCTACTATCCTACCAGCCCCTTCCCACAAAAAAATAATTATTTCTGGTGATGCATAAATAAATGTCAGGAGAAAAGAAAAAGCTCCTCCTGGTTGCTATGGAGGGGATTATATAGGCATAATAAAGGGTGCTTGGGCTGTGAATAGAAGAGCAGAGATGGGATTAGCAGCGTTAGAGGCCGCCATCTGACCTTCTGACTGTTAAGTTCATTAAGATCAGCACAAGAGTGGAGTTTGTGTTCGTTGCCCAACTGTTGTTTAATGGCAGCCCCTCCACCCGCCTTTACAACCGGCTCAATCAAGCTTACTGTCCTGAAAAACAAGCCTCAAACATCACCAGAACACCACATTTCAGTTCCTAAAAATGGCACAACACAGTATTCTGATTTGTATTTCACCACAATGAAATGTAAACTTCTGCTGTGGGTTTGTTTCCCTTTGAGAAGATCACCGTGGAAAACTCTGACACTCCAGTCACCACGAGCATCATCAGTGAAAGTGTGGGATCTGGGTGGCCTTAAAGCTCCTGCGCCGGCAGACAAACGGGACATTTCCAATCTTGTCCAGTAGGACAGAGGGACAATGAAAACAGTTTTTAAAAGTGACTAAACCATCTGCGTGATGTGCATTTTGCTCTTTTTCTCTGGACAACAGCAGCTTTTTACTGCAACTTTTTTGCAGAAGTGAAGACGAGGATGAATACTGCCCCCCTCACTAAGCTCAAATTTATTTATTTCACATAAATATTTTAAAAGTGATTTTCTAACACAAAAAAAAAATGAAGCTGAAACTACAAAACAAAAATCCACAATGATGTTCTCACTCTCTGAACAACACCTGAGCGTTTCCTCCTTTAGTTTAACCCATTCTTTTCTGTTTTGCTCCTACAAACACACAAAAGCCTGATAAGTCATGGAAGACAAGTCATTGTGCAACTGTCACTGGAGGTAAAAGTTTATCCTTTAGCGTGATTTGTGAGAAGACAAGATCTTAGTCAAACAGACCCAGAGTTAGGGGAAATTGTGGTTCAAATAGTGTCACACGGGTCAAATAAACATCACATTTCTACCATGACTGGTCCCAGAGTAAACAACCGTCACTCTAATGTTGTGTTTGTTGATCTTCAGGAACTGCAACAAACAATAAATGAGGTTTTCTACCTAAAATGAGTAAAAGTTAAAGTAATCCAAGAGCTGGTAGACTGAGAATAACTTTCAAAAGCTGACAAAAAGCACAAAGTAGTCATAAAATGACTTCTGCTTGTGTTTTATTGCAATTATGACTCATATTTACGTCTCATGTTTCAGACAAATGACCCATTAGTTGTGTGTGATTCAAATAAATCACAATGTGTCTGGATGAGGACAGGATGACTCACAATTGTAAACATGTCTGTTTCATCCTACTGTACGTGTTACAGCCTCACCTTCCTCCACCACAGGAAACAATTAGATTATGACTGATAACCAGAAGATGTTACAGCTTCCACATGTTTCTAATTCCTCTGCTATTTTAAACGCAGAAATGCACTTTTGTTATTAAATCATCCATGCTATCGTTCAGTTTGTGGGAAATGGTTCCATTGACACTTTGTTATTGAGACATTGGAGACTGAGAGTGCAGACATGAGTAAGTAAAGCTCTGTATGAAAGCAGGTCATCCTTCAGGATTATCGCTAATACTCTGCACATCCTACCTGCCTCTCAAGTATGTTAATTAAAGGAGAAGCTAACAGAGGTTCAAAATGCTATTTTCGTGTTAAAGCGGGATTTTATTCAGCTTGCTGTTCATAGTCACGTGTATAGTTGCAAATACAGTTTATTATAGCGAATTTAAATAAAAAACAATTTCCTTATAAGGAAGTCAAATAGCTCTACTGAAAACTATTTCTTGTGGTAAATTAAAGCTCACCAAAGCTCGGAGAGCGGGCTCGTCCAGCGCTGAGTAAGTCTCCTGGGACATCTTAACCAGCTGGGTTCAGGTGAGACGAGAAGGTCTGGATGGATGGAGTCTCGCGGTGAAGTGGTTCCCCGGTCAAAAGCGTGAGTCACCTGCAGCGCTCGTGTATGTCGTTTTGTTTTTAACGAGGATTTTTCATTTTCTGCTCACCTTCAACGTAAAAAAAGTAACTTTTGTTACGCCGGTGTCCCGTCGGTGAAGAGCATTTTTCGTGGCGATCTCCAAAGTACCAATGAAAACAGAAACAAGTCCACAAGAGGACGTTGGCAGCTTTTTGAACTGAGAATTCCCACTGAAAGCTGAAGCTCCGCCCCTCTCTATCCCAGCGGCTGCTCCCGGTGTTCATTCGGAAAGCGCCGCTGTGTGGGCGGAAGCGAAACCGCGTCCAAATAAGGAAGGCTATTAGTGCCACTGGTGGTCATCCAAGATATGTCATAAGATTTTCATGAAGCAAACCCCATTTCTATTCAGTCATAGATTTTCAAACTGTCAGTTATGTCAGAATACAATTTTTTTTCTCGAATAGAATAGACTTTATTGATCCCACAGTGGGGGAATTCACTTGTTACAGCATCACAAACACTTAACATAATTTGAAGAAAAATAATAAGAAAATAATTTTATTATTGGATGTAAAAAGAAGTAAAATTCAGAAACTTTTTTCCTTGCAAAATTACACTGGACAAGACCAACAGTGGGTAAAATTAGCTAAATAAAGTTGGCAAATGTTTATGTCAAAACCTTTATTTAATTTGGTCACACAAAAATATTGCTATTTTTTAATTTATCTAACATGTTTAAGAAAATATTAAATTTGTTAAAAGAGCATGTCTGCCGAGATTTGCATGCCCTGTCATCACAACCGCAAATTGAGGTAGTTAAGGATTAGAATTATGAGCAACAAGGCTATTTTTAATAGATTTTTAATATGAATGTTTCTAATCCATGTTTCTCCTAAAAAGGTTTTATTTTTGACTAAAAATATAATGAAATAATGATATAATTTACGTTTTTGTAAGGAAGCACACAGATAATAAACATGTTAATATTACAAATGTACAAATCTGCCTCATTACTCATATTTCTAATCGTTTCCATTCTCAACAGTAGGTTGGATGCGCCTTCCCACAACAGGGTACGCAAATCTCAGCAGGCATGCTTTTTTTTGGAACAACACCTGTCCAAATTAGTGACCACAATAAGATCTACTTACTTTGCGGTCTCATTTCCCTTCTAAAAATATGAAAAAACAGTTTAGTTTTCAAGACTTGATATAAGATGTATGTCAGACCTTTGACAGCTTTAACATGTGACGCATTTTCTGCAGCATCACCCTAAAAATATAATAAATAATTTAAATAGCATCAAAAAGTTAATTAGGATTAATTTTAAAAAATGCCAACAGTTGTGTCAACTCAACTCTTAGAACAAATAGATGCTGTACCTTGTAAAACTGAAGTGGAATAGATGTAAAAAGAGAAGAAACTAAACTAATAATATCCTTAATTAATGCTTTAATTATCACACAAGACAAGGAGCACCGCATCAGTTGTTCAACAGAAGCATTGAGCGGCGCAACGAAAGCCCAATTTAACATGACAACAAACGTTCTCACAGATAAGCTGCAGCTGTTTAGGGTCACCGATAATAAAAGAAGGAAAATAATAATTAATCAGCTGCAGCTGCACAATTAATATGGATTACTGATGTGTTACAAACAAAAATACACAAACAATAAAACCACTTAGTCAACCTAAGGTCCAAACAGAATACACTTTGCTTTAAAACATGTTAAAAGAATGTCACAATCGGATCAAGAGGTTACAATTATAAAGAAAAATAAACATTACTACACTGTTACACAATAATAATAATAATAATAATAATAATAATAATAATAATAATAATAATAATGATAATAATAATAATAATAATAAAGACTAATAGTTAAAGTAATCAAATTGTAAAAATGCTGAGAAATGTTAGTTTCAATTACTTTGGGGGGGGGGGGGGGGTGTCCAAGAAGCACAACTGCCTTAAATCTGTTCCTCCAGCCCTTTTTAAACTAAAATAAAAATAAAAGTGCTTCGTGTTAAATAGAAATGAAAAACCTTTGAAGGACAAAGGGATAACCTGAAGGAACCTACAATCAAGAGTGGAAACAAAAATAAAACAACGATCTTGGCATCATGATATGAATAAGACTCAATAAATCCACACAATTAAAGTCATGTTTTTGATGTTTTCAGTGTTTTCAATGAGCTACGACTTTACGGTAACAAAATATCATAAATTAAACTGGTTAGGTCAGACTGAATATTACAAATGTCAGAATTTGGAAACTAAGCAGAATCTGTAGAATAAAATCACCTTGCTTAAGACATTAATAGTAAAATTTATCAGAATATAAACTGTAAGATATTAAAGTTCCCACAGGCACTTAGTTATACTTCTAATAAAAATGTGCAAAAAATATGAAGCAGAAGAGGTGGGTTTAGATTTTTTTACCCTTTAGATCCATTTTCTCACTCCTCGTTTTCCTGCTCATCATTCTGGTCCTTGGGAAGCAAAAACAGAAAAAATGCTTTTAAAAACTAAATATTTTTACAGGCAAAGAAAATGTAACTCTGAAAATAAAAATAATTATACCTTAGTTAATGGGTTCCCTCTGCTACTGCTCCCTTCTTTGTTTTCTGGGCTGTGAGGTCTGATAGACAATAAAAAATAAAATCATAGAATAAACAAAGGTATTTACAATAAACTAAATAAATAAATTCAAAAAAAGGCACGTTTTATTTGTTTTTACACTTTTACTGATGCAGAACCAGGCCTCTCAGAGTCATAGGGAAAGAAATGCGCTCCCCCCTGCTGAGCTCTGGGTTTTATAGAATCGTCACAGTTGGACGTCTTCATTGGATCTGGAAGTCCAACGTCTCTCTGCCACATTGGTCGGCTTTGATCTGACGCTGTGTCCCGAAAAATATCAAAATCGTCATGCAAGACGTCAGCTGTGTGAAAAAAAGAAAAGAAAAGGTTGTGTGTGTGTGTGTGTGTGTGTGTGAGTGTAAATAACAACATTGGAGAAGAGTTTGTGCAATAGCTTCCTTTAAGGGGTTTTGTGTATCTGCTTCTTTCATAAATACCTCAATAAAAGTGTTTTACCTTGGTGTTTTATTCTTCTCGGAAACTCTGCAGATTTCCATCCACAGGAGTCTTTGCTGGGGCTCACGGGTCTTCTGATGGATGCCTGTGCTCTGTTATTCAGGTGCTTAGCCAGATCAGGGTGCATGTCACATTTATCCTAGATATTAAATGAGTAAAAGACAAGAAGATAATACAAAACTGATTATGCACACACAGGTTCTAGTCATCCTTGTATTATTTTGCATGCAGGTGAGTTTAGTTTTTATTTATTTTATGTGTTGCTCTTGTCCAGATGAACAAGAATTAAGTTAAAGGAGAAACTTTTTTCAGATGTAAAAACAAATTTACTTTTACAGACACATCAGAGTTGATTTGACAACACGAGCCGCCTGACTGGTCACACACACCTGATGATGAAACACCACAGATTCCTCTAGTGCCACGCCACAGAATTCACATGGAATAACCACATCGCCCACTAGTGGACTGGCTGGAGGGCTGTAGGAGGCAGGTGAGATGGACTGAGGAAAGGTGGGAATGTTAGATGCAAGTGTGTTAGGAATGTTCTGCATTGGTCCTAAAGTATTCTGGCTCATCCTGCCCTCCTTAGATGGAGAAGACGGCTGCTTGCTAAAAGAAGCAAAGGCAGAGGCGGGACTGCATCCAGTCTGAAATAAAGTAAATGCAAATAGAAAGTCCGAATTCTGTGTTTAATATGCTAAATGTTCATTTTTTATATCAGAATGAGAATGTGTTCAATAGGGATTCTCAAACCTCGTGCAAAATAAGGTCATCTTCAGGAAACAGCTTGCCACAGAACTCACAAGGCAGCATGGTGTCTGGGAAAACAGTTTTAATAGATAAACCGACAGCAGGGTGACGTGATGTGCTGTGATCTACACTATTTTACCTGTCTGACTGCTGGCCTGGACAGCACTCGTGTTTGTCCCTCCACTGAAGACTGGATGGTTGTAGTTGGACTCAGAAAGTGAAGATTTTACAGATGTGTTGGACTTCTCGATCTTTTGGTCCCAGGGATCACGCCACACGTTCCCCTCAGCGCCTCCAGCCACTGAGTCTCCATCACACTGCAGGCTGAGAGCCAACATGTAGTCGAGACCTGATGAATCCTCGTCCTCTGTGCATGCGTTTGGTAGCCATGCTCTGCTGCTTCCACTCAGAAAATCACTCTGCTCCAAGACTAAAAAATATAATCACACAAACATTTCAGAAAATACAAGTTTACATGCCGACTGATACTCTTGAATTAAAACACACTCACAGCGGCTAAACGATGTTTTCTGAGAAGCATTCTTCCCGTCTCCAGAGGGCAGAAATCCTCTTGAAGGGTTGAAACCTGGGGGGTCAAATGGTTGAGGAAAGCATTGCTGTTCTGCTGCACTGATGTTATTATTTTTAAAACCTCTGTCTTGGGTTCTCAGGAGATTTCGGATGGAGTGTGTTTCAAGCCACGCATCTGAAGGTGGTTGCTCTGCTTGACTGCAACTCGTCTTGCTGTTGTTTCTCTCTTGGGGCGGTGTGAGGCTTCCACATATGACTGAGTGCACGGTTTGTTCTCGTAGCATCACGTTGCAATTGCATTGTGGGCAAGGCTCGGTGCGCGCTCCACAATAATCCTCGTGCTCTTTGGACTGACCGAAAACAAGCTCCAGTTCGCAGTACTGGCATGGGACGAGCCGCTGAAGACACTCAGAGCTCTGCAAAACAGACAGACAATAGAAATATGAAGGTTAAATAGAAGAAGCCAGTGTTTTACAGCTTCTTCCTGCAGTTAAATAACATTTTCCACAGTTTCCACAACCCTTGGCTGAGTAGCAATATGGTATGTAGGACATTAATCTTCACTGTACCTGATGTACATCTAGAAATTTCTTCTCAATCTTCAATCCACACTTGCACATAATCTGAAGCAAAAGATTAAAAAAATGTTTGAAGTAACAAACTAGAGGTTGACCAATATTGTTTGTTCTATAACCAATGCCGATATGTAGGACATGGTCAGCCGAAGGCCAATATGTACTGCCGATTTTCATGGCTGATATCCAGAAGATATCCACCTTATTTTCATACTAAAATGTTCCTAACAACATCAGTTGATGCACAAACCTTCTGAAGCTGAACCGGTTTATGAACTCTGAATTTAACTAAGTGCTCAATCTTAACTTTGTGCACTGCTCAGTGTTAAAAAATAAAGTTAACTTAGAGCATTTATTATGCAGATGTTTTTAGTGAACGTAAAAACACATTTAAATTAAATTTTGCAACACCACGAGCTGCCCGAGGATGCGCCTAACTTTGAATCGGCTCTACTTAGGACAAATATCGGCCGATGCCAATACATAAAAAAAAAAAACTGTAAATATTGGCCCGATATATCGGTCTTACCCCCTAGTAATAATCATACAGTTTCAGTATGATGTTGCTTTCTAATTAGTGGTTTTCATTGGAAATTAAGCTACTGTTGGCTTGATGGGTAATTCACGCAGAAAATTACTTGGGAAGTAAAAAAATCTCAGATAAAATTCCCCATACTGTAAATGTATACAAGGCTACCCTATCAGGACTATTAGTGACTCTCAGAAAAAGACACAAAGAAAACATTTTTGTTAAATCCTTGTTTTTTTTTTTTAAGGTTAAGACCTTCAGTAATAAATACAAACATGTCACATGTCGATGTATATTGTGATATTAATGTAAATTGGTTACATCATTAACATTATGATATTATTATATTCTATAACGTGAAGGTTTTAGATGTTTTGTTCAGATGTACCCGAGTGTGCTCTTGAATCTTGTGCTCCAGAAGATCTGAGTGAGGCACCGGCTCCTGGCACACGTCACAGAGGGCGATGTTTCTTCGACAGTGAATCTCATGGGTGGTAAAATTTGCCTCAGGAATGTCTCTCTTACTAAACAAAACAACAACAGATTTGATTTAAAACAAACATACATATAGGCTATGAAATACATTAATGATCATAAGATATAGTCATACTTACCAATTACCACAAAAGAGTGTGTTTTCATCTGCCATGACTGTCCTAAAGGCTGTAAACTAAAAAGCAGAATTATTAATCACACAAACCAGCTTTTCAGGGTAACTGGTTTTAAAGAAGCTACGTTTAGTATTAGATAGTAATTAAACATTATTTGATGCTGCATCAGATGCGAAACGTTGAATCAGTTAATTCAGCTGTTTGTATTTAGTGTCAGAGCGCTAATGAGCTGCTTGTTTTAATTCATGGGGAAAATGCTCCGTGAGTGTACAATGCAGATGTCTGACTCAGCAAATGAAATTGCGCTTTCGCTTTACTCGATCATTATTTAAAAGGAATGTAACTAATGCTAGCAGATAGAAAACGGTCCATAATAAAGCGGTGATTCTTTGTTAGATGATCAACAAACACTTTAACGACTTCAGAGTTATAATAGCTTCATTGTCTTTAGCTAAAATCCAACAGTTAACAAAGCAGCAACAAAGCCGCTAAGCTAGCGAAACTGAAGGATTCGAGACTTCTTCCCACAAGAACACAAAATACGGTCATTTTGAGGTTACCAGTGGCCAAGTAGTAAATTTTAACAAACGACAGAAGACTTCCTGACGAGAACTCGAGTGGAAAAACTGTTCGTTCCTCGGTCTTTCCGCTAGAGAAAATCTAAACCCAGTGTATTGTCTTTCAGGGTGCAGCATTGGCATCAGAACAGTCAAACCAAACTTTATAACAACAATGTAAAATAATGTTAATGGGTTAAAAGACAATTGATTTGAATGTGAAGTTGTATCTAAAAATTACTCAGCCATGATTTTTAAAGAGTTTAAGATAAAATTTTCCTGTAAACCCTAACTTAGGGAAAAAACAATTTGTCCACGCTCCAATTTGATTGGTTGGGTAAAAGCAGTGCGCCATGAAATGTTTCGGGTGATACCGATGCTCCCCAAATATTCGTTCCTCTAAAAATTTGTCATGATTATTCGAGAATGCTTTAAAATGTACTTTACAGCTTAAAAATGCTGTAGTAATCTATACACAGTGTATATGATACTTTAATTTTTTAGGAACAAATAGCAAATTACTGCTGCCACTTCCCATTTTAAAGAACAATGTGTCAGCTTCATAGTCCTAGAAATCCAGAAAAAATATTTTTCTGAGATTTCCAAGTTACATTCTCCCCATCACAGAGTCTTATTTGAAACCATACTGCTTTTGGTGATCTTTTTTAGTAAAGCTTGTAAAAACTTTCTCAAGATTAAATGAGCCTGTGACTGAACCACCATCAGCTGAAGGTCTCCAGATGATGTAGTTTATGGGGGGCCACTTGTAAATTCATAATTTAACAGCAGTATTTATGGTTACATAGCCTATCATAAGGAAAAAATGGGAGTAAAATTTCAAAATTAAATTTTCAACATTTTATTCATGCATTTATAAATGTTAAAAGTTTCTAACAAAACATTTAGTTAGCAAGCAAAATATTTAGTTTTACAAACTAAATACTTAGGTCAGATCTAAATATTTAGTTTGTAAAATCATTATTTAATTTACTAACTAAATATTCAATTTGGAACTAAATGTTTAGTTTACAAACTAATTTTTTAGCTTCTAATTAAATATTTATCTTCCAAAATTAATATTTAGATCCCAGTTAAATATTGTTTTGGAGCTAAACCTAATATTGATTTTGCACAAATGTTATGATGTAAATATTTTTGGGGCAAATTAATATTTACACAAACACAAATGTTGGCGATTCTATGAGTTTTGCACTACTAGCTCTTAAAGCAGCTTTTGACACAATGGACTGAAATGATCAATGTCTGGAGTAGTGGAGCGGTTTAGATGGTTTAATTTTTGCTTTAGCCTTGCTTTGCTTTAGCCTAGATCCACATTTGAAAACCTCCTGGCTGTTCCTCGAACCAGACTGAAAACCAAAGGGGACAGGGCCTTTCAGACTATTGCACTCAGACTTTGGAACAGTCTACCTTCAAATCTCCGTCTCTCTAACACTGTAGAGGTCTTTAAAAATCATCTAAAAACTCACCTTTTCATCCAGGCGTTCCCTCCCTAAATGTTTCAAAAAGATGGCTTTGTTCGGGTTCACACCTTCACTTTGTTTATACTCATGATTTTATTTTCTACGTTTATCACTGCTATTGTTTTTCTGATGTTTTTATTGGTTAGAGGTATTTGCCCTGATCTTTATCATGTTGTACAGCGCTTTGTGATTTATATCTGTGAAAGGCGCTATATAACTAAACTTTTACTTACTTTACTTACTTACTTTCCTGTGGGGTACCACAAGGTTCAGTTTTAGGAGATCATTCCTTTCTCTCTATATCCTTACACCGCTCAGCAGGTCCCTGAGGTCCAGTGATCAAAGCCTACTGGTTGTGCAGCACACCAGGCTAAAAACGAAAGATGACAGATCTTTTGATGCTGTGGCCCCCAGACTCCGGAAATCTATCCCCCTGAGCCTGAGATCAGTGGACTCAGTGGTCTCCTTCAAAAAGCAGCTGAAAACTCATTTGTTCAAGCTGGCTTTTGCGTGACCTTTGTCCCCACCCTTTCCTTATTCTGCTCTTTCTACTTATTCCGCGATCCACTGCTTTCCAGAGGTGGAAAGAGTACTTCCGGGTTGAGACCAATTTTAGAGCCGCATTGTGGGGGCTTATGACCCAAGCCCCCACAATGCGGCTTTAAAATTAAGTCGAACCCAGAAGTAAGAAAAATTGCAATTCCACCCTCATCCGCTGGGGGCTGGTGTCAGAAGCGAGCAAATCCTCATTGACTCCCATGATGTTAAAAATGCCAATTTCACAGCAGAAATGAACATGTTTACAGCCTGGTACCAAAACATGTTTTTTGTTTAAATGATCTAGTTTACACTCATGACAACTCTGAGGGGGGTGAATTTTTTCTCACTCTTCTGTTTAAGTGTATTAAAAGCCTAAAATTCTGTTTAATTAATGAGCATCCGACCCACGTGACCACAAAGCTAGCTCCATGGAAAGGCCTCAGTAGAGCCTCGGCCTGGCTTGGAAATTGTTCCGGGATTTTGAGTCTCTGTGTTTGTGCGTTCTGTTTTGGATATTATTTGTGCAATTGTTGGACAAAATGACTTGCTGTGGCATTAATTGCACTAATAGAGCGTCCAAGGAGTCTCCACTTCATTTTTTTCAGTAAGTAAAATTATATTTATGTATTTTAGATCACTGCCAAGCTGAGCTTAGATTTGAACATGTACTGTTTAACCATGAAATTTAAATGTAATAGGGTAAAACCCAGTGCATTTAACATATTGCTGCACTTTAGAAAATGGGTTGAAATATAATATGTTGGTGGAGCTGGGTTCCGACTATCGGCTTGTGGAACTCTCGGGAGACCGATGTTTTCCACCCGGAATGCCGGCTGTTTCTCCCCGCAGCCCTGTCCATCTCTGTCTGATCGCAGCTTCTGTGTGCTGCGGCGGGCTGACGGCTGGTTCTCCCAGCAGCTCGGCGCATCTGTCTGATCGTGGCTTCTGTGTGCTGCGGCGGGCTGACTGCTGGTTCTTATGGCAAGCCAGAACCGCCAAAATACGCCACTTCTCCCCGCCGCTAGGCGCATCTCTGTCTGATTGCGGCTTCTGTGTGCTGCGGCGGGCTGACGGCTTGTGGAGGTCTGGGATGGAAACCTTTCCACCCGGTTCTCCCCAGCGGCAGCTCTGCGCATCTCAGATCGCAGCAGCGCTTGTCTGCTGTGCGGCTGCCGGCTTGTGGAGGTCTCGGAGACCTCTGTGTTCCACCCGGTTTTACCCAGCGGTCAGCCCGGCGTATCTCTGACTCAGAAGCTCTGGTGTTGTGCACAGTTAACTCCGGTTGTAGCTAGGTTGCTACTTCCGTTAGCTTAGCTCCCACCTCTGCATTAGCTTTGGGTTAGCTTCAGGTTAGCTTGTAGCTAGTTCGACCGGGTGTCGTCAGTTGATCCCAGTCTTACAGCCCCACCCTCAGCTCCTCCTCTCTTCCCTTTTATGGAATTGTCTGGGCTTGACGGAACCTGTGACACGGTCAAAATGCTGGTGGTGGCCACCTCCCATTTGGGATCAAAAACTTGTTATTGGAGCCTTTGGAAACCCATTGTCCATATATTAATGTCGATGGTTCCAACCCACAGGAGAGGAGGGAGAGAGGAGGTAAACAGCGAGTGGATCACAGGGACTGAACTGATGTTTTTGAGCAAAACTGCGGTAAACATGGCTGTTTGTCCTCATTATCAAAAGTGTACCCCCCCCCCCCCCCCACCGTTTAGACGCAGCGCTCATGCAGGTGTCTCTTTCTGTTCCGACGTTGCTACACGTAATATTTTTAATTCATAAAGCCTACAATTTATTTTTACTCAGCAACAGATATGATTTTAAATGTAGCGAATTATAATTCTTTTTTAAAAATGTACTCAAGTAAAAGTACAGATTTTAAAAACGACTTAAAAGTATAAATATACAAAAGCTACTCAATTACAGTAACGCAAGTAAATGTAATTCATTACTTTCCACCTCTGCTGATTTCCCCATTTCCTATTCCTTTTTTCTGTCTTTCCTTACATTATTATTTAAATCACAATTTTTTTCTCATTTTAAACATATTTTGAATTTTTTTTAATCTTTTTGATGCTTTTTATTGTTGTTTGTTTTTGTGAAGTGCCTCGTGACTTATATCTTGAGGGGCGTTATATAAAAGATTGTTTCCTTTCTTCTTTATATTGCTTCTCCCAAGCTGCTGCGGTCAGGACGCAGTGAATTGTTACTTTATGCTAACAATAATCAGACTTATGGGTCTTTAGAACAAACTATATATATATATATATATATGAATTCCTTATTGTGCCACTATGTTGCTTCGGTGCTTGGATGATTGGTAGGGCCCGGATGTCATTCAGCTTTGTGAAATCCATGAAATCAAATCTGTTGAAAACTGTCCAGTTAAACTAACCCACACTTTACCAAATATTAACTGCAGCAAAATGAATGACACAAAACACAGAAATAGTCCTTTGTGTTTATTTTTTTTTACCCATCAATACTTTCATTAAATATGTAATTGCAAGGCACAATTTTGTTCAGATAAAACACTGATCTTATTTACAGCAAATGTTTGGACGTGGTTCGTGTATCTTTCTTAGCTCCTTTGTCTAATTAACCACACAATAATCAGGCCAATGTTTAAAAAAAATCATTCATTTCAGAGTCCTTGTTTCTTCAGTGACTAAAATGATGGAGCTAATTTTCCATTGTGATAGAACATGTAACCAAAACCTCAAAAATAACATTGTGTACAGAAGCAATACATACAAAAGGCTGAATGTAAACTGAAAAGTACTGAGTGACTATGTCTATTAACGAGAAGAATGTTGGATTTCTTTTTGCAAAGCAACAACTTAACCTATAATCAAGGTGAATTAAGTATTTATTACATTTTGAGAGCTTTCAGCTATGGGTTGGTATTCCAACTGTGTTTTTACAGTGATGTAAAATATAAAAAGCATATGCCGCTCTTGATTATTTGGAACTTATTGATGAATTTGAGTTATTTCATTGGATTATATTTGGTTACATGATTGTCTGATGAGTTTCAGTTTGAAGTCAAGAGAGTAACAACCCAACTTCCTTAATTAAACTTTGGAAAACTAGGCATTCTGGAGAAATATCAGCTGCATTCTTCAGGAGGAAAAAAAATTCAAGAAAAAAATGGCTAAAGGTTCTACAATCGAGCCACAACGCAGACATAAACTGAAACATCAGAATAAACACATTTACTCTATTGTCATAATTACTTTCATTATGAATTTTCAATTTAAAGGCTAACAGGATTTAAAGACTCTCCATAACCAAACGGTTCACAGCTATGAAGATTAAAGTAATGTTTCTTACATTTAACCCTATGAAAATGTGCAAACAATGTTATTGCTCAACAAAACTGAAGCATGAACATGCTATGCATGGATGCCGTGTTTAATGTGGCTGCTGGTGTCAACAGGGAAAATGCTACTTTATGTGACAGTGAGCTTTACGTACTGTGTACAAGTGCATTTTTGCTCCCACCTTCATCTATTAAGTTGTTACAAGCACAAAAGTCCACTTAACAACTATTTCATATGACTCTTGTTTGCAGTCCTCACTCTATACCGTAAACAAATAAAACAGTAAAAAAAGGAAAAACAACAAAAATTGGGATATTTGGTCAGTCGCTATTATTCTAACCAAAAAAATAAAGCTACACGTGTTTAGACAAACTAAACACTGTACAGCATCCTCTGAAAGAAGATAAACTGTTTTTTTCACTTCCAAATGTCCTTGGTCCAATATAAAAATCTGTATTTTGCTCTAAGAGTCATTAACCACAGTCCTGTGAAAAATATTTCTTCTTTACTACACTGTTCTACATAAAGAAGCTAAAAAAAAAAGTTCAAAAATTGCATCAAAAATAAACAAACAAAAAAAAAAGAATAAAAGAAGTACAAATATTCAAGAAATGTAAAGAAGGCACAGAGTTTTAAGAGCTGAGGCTAGAAATCACAGAGGTAGAAGAGGCCAGAAGACAAAAGAGAGGAAGACCTGGTTTTCTAAAAAAAAAAAAAAAAAAAAAAGAAAGGTGTGTGTGTGTAATGAAATGTTCATCTGTCCTTGGATCCAAGCTTCTCGATCAAATCCTGCAGGGGAGCAAGCTCTCGCCGGTCAATGAGGTTGAACTCCTGCGGGGGGGAGATGACAATATGCATCAGGACATTACTTCTGTAGATGCTTTTGACCCCTCGCGCTAGTGTGACGATCTCACCTGGACAAAGAAAATGAAGTGCTTGAAGGAGGTGTTGAGGTGAGCCTCCTCCTGCAGCTGCATCACCGAGTCAAAATGTTGGTGGTAGATGTGAGCGTAAACCCTGAACAGACGCTTCAGGATGGTTTTGGCCACAGACATGAAGTTCTTAGGGAAAGGAACCCCTGTGGAACAGAAGGTGGTGGAAAAATACTCGTCATCAGGTGCAGAACTTGGGCTTTTTACATAATCCTTTAACATCAAATCCACAAGGCTGAGATTTAGCCATCCTTTCCACCGACCACACAAGCAGCGTGTAAAGAAATAGCGACATTTTACCAGCGAGCTCCCTTTCAACCAGGAGCAATTCTGTTTACATCGGTTACACAAGTTTCACAGGAAATTACGTACTCCACAAGACTTTTATTTTTAACGTTTCTGGAAATTTTACACTGATTTCGTGTTTGACTTCCTGTCTGGCCAGATCTAAACTGCAGAGTTTGACGTGTTTTGGAAGCGTAAAGTGTAAAAAATGGATTTGAAATGTTAAGATGGCACCCCTTCGCTTCTGGGACCCGACCAAAACATTACACTTGCCAGTGGAAAGGAATATGTCCACTATAACAGCGGCTAATTAAAGTGTAGTGCGTTTCACAGCCGTTTCATGACGTTTTCACATGCGGTGGAAGAAGGAGTTAGATTTGCTGAACAGGTAAGTTCTTTAAGGTTACATGTGAGTATTTCTCAACTCACCTTTTCCCTCCTAATTTCTGTAAATTCTGATTGACTTACCGATCTTGGAGGGGAAAAGGGTCTCATCATCCAGCTGATCCTGCACCCAGGTCATCAAATAGTCGATGTACTTAGGCGCTGAACATTTGATGGGCTTTTTAATATTAGTGCCATCAGCCCAGTGATACTCATACCTAGAAGAAAATACATGAATAAGTGAAAAAAAAATAAGTTGGTGGCAGATATATCAGTCGTATTCTTGGCGGGGGCTAAGTCAACAGGAAATAAACCCACGTGTCTTCCTCTTGATTAGAGCCTCAGCTGTCTTGGAAGAAGAGAGGATAAAGGAAGTACCAAATCTAGATTCTAACTAAGCAGCTTCAACCGAGAGATCACATGCAAAGTTTATTTCCTGTTTTCTCCATGTGACACTCAGGCAAAACGTGGCAAGTTGTTTGACCGTCACCTCCTCAACCATTTTAAATGAAAACAGTCGCTCTGCTTGATGCTAAAGTTATCCAGCTCCTAAAATCCAATAATCTCTCAAAAAAATAAAAAATTAAATTACAACATAGTGACTAAAGAAAATGGAAAATGTCACATTGGCAGATAAAAGTTCACGAGGCTTTAATTCAGTTTTTGTGACACTTTTGGTTAAGAGTGAAGTAGTACAAGCCTTTTTAGTCTCAGCTGGTATTCCTCTTCCTTACAGAAGCATCATAACCTTCATTTGCTAAATTCATCATGAAGTCAGCTGGACTACACTTTATTTAGGAATCGTTCTAAATCTGTTCAACCCTCTAAAATGCCAGTGTGCCCCTAAAACACACTGACAGTAAAATAATCACATTTTAAAGTCTAAATACCTCAATTTAACTATCTCTGAATGCTGCAAGCTACCAGAAACACACGAAGGAACATTTTATCACATCTCCAATCCTTTCAGTTCAATTCAATTAAAAATACTTTATTAATCCCAGACGGAAATTAGAACATCCTGTTTGCTGTTCAGCTCACTTTAACATACTGCAGCTGACATTAAGGCCTATTTATTCACTCAGTAAAGCAACAAAAGCCCATATGTGTGTGTGTGTGTGTGTGTGTGTGTGTGTGTGTGTGTGTGTGTGTGTGTGTGTGTGTGTGTATATATATATATATATATATATATATATATATATATATATACACACACACACACACACACACACATATATACACACACATATATATGTACACTAACTAACTATATTACCATTTTATCAACTCTCGTGTCATAATAGTTGATCAAGATTTAGCATGTGATATAGCATTTAGTCTAACAGAACAGGACCTTACTCCACCTCTCAGCCTTCAGATGAAACATTTTGATACATAAAATTAAGAATAAATTGATTTGTTTTTTTGTTTTTTAATGAATAATCCTAATTCAGGTGTACAAAAACAGGAACAACTCAAAGCTCAATGATACCAAAATTAAATGTCTTAGCAACACAAAATCAGATGTGGAGCTAATAGAAAAAAAGGTTGTACAGGTAAAAATAAAACAGTCTACCTTGGTCCTGCTGACATCACAGAGCAGCTGGTCTCAGTGCAGAACTCGGTGATGGTGCCATACAGCATGTTGATTTGGTTGAAGAAATCCACCGCTGAATGAAAAAGACAAACTCACATTTTATTGAAGCCATTCTAAAGATCAAATGTTATCCCCAGATAAAGTTGCAGCATTCTTTCATTACCACTGCTTCAATGCGCACAAGATCAACTGTCACATGACAGGACTTGCATTGTTATGTTCAGCTCAGACTTGGAACAAAACTTTGTTGCAACTTCATACAAATAAAAAAATAAAATCTAAAAAGTTCTTGTTTTCAACCACATGAGAGGTTAGGCTAATAAAACTAAAATTGGAGACTGTGATAAATGAGTAATGTGTAGACTCTGCATGCACAGTAGAAAGAATAAAAAACATAAAAAATAAAATAAACCTGGGAAATTATTGGAGTTTGGGAGTTCTGCAAAACCTACATGTGCCTTTTAATTCAGATATCTGTGTGATTATTCAAGCTGGAAGTTACGGAGTAAAAAGATGATTGTAGAAAACATAACACTAACAAGCTGAATATATGAACATCACATCTGAAAGGTTTGTACTTGTGTGCACAATTTATTCTTTTCTCCATCTGTTTGGGTTTCATTTCTGCTTTTACAATTTTTGGAGATAACCAAAAATAAAAATGTTTAAAATAGCTCTTTTGTTTTTCTTTTTAGAAAAACCTTTGTGACCTTTAACCAAAGCCAGCCAGACACTTTCAAATCTCATGAATTGATCTTGTGTAGCATCAGAATCTCAACAACTGTGTTTCTTGGCCAGGTCAGTATTTAAAATGTTGCTGATGAATAAAATCCACAGCTGGTAATCAAAATATTAACTTTCATAAAGGTAAAAAAATCTAATGTCTGTTACTTTAGCCACTTGATGTGGCTCATTAGAGCTATTCTGGCATGTATTCATTAGCAGCCCTAGTAGATGTGTGTGTTCAAGTGTCTCCAAGTAGGGAAAAGACATTAATTATCTTATGATTTTGAGAACTGGGATTACATACTTGGTAGTAAATCAGAACTCCTGTAGATCCACTTTTAGGTTTGTTCTTGAGTTTTATTCCTGCACCTATTACAACCTACTCCTGGAAATATTTGGTTTTTGTGTTAAGATTACTTACGGTGTGTTTGTATTAGGGTTGTCACGGTAACCGGTGTAGCGGTAAACCTCGGTAAAAAAGTTGACAATAATAATAACCGTCTTGTTTAAAAAAAAAATTATCTCGGTGGATTTTCGTGGCTGCGGTGTAGGTGCGGTGACCCTTACCAGCCACCGTATCATCTGCAGAAGTTGCCGGCGACACGTGCGCGCTTTGTTGTTTACGACCAAAACTTTCTTGAAGCTAAAGCTGAAATAATGGCCAAAGAAGGAGACGGCAGCGCTCAGGACATTAATTATCCCTCAAAGAAGACAAAGTCGGAAGTACGGGCATTTTTTGGATATTTGAAGAATGCCGAGGGACAGCTGATAGAAGACGGCTATCCTGTTTGCAGCACGTGCAGAAAAAGTGTCTGTGAAAGGCAGCAACGCTTCAAATCTCATGACACATCTGCGTGACCATCACCCACAACTCTACAGTCAGCACAAGGCAAGTTAACGTTAGCGTTTTAACTAAAATGCGTGATCCGAGGATTTGGGTTGAGGGAGAATGCAACGAGTCGCTATATAAAGCAGCCGCAGCGCCGCTACCTGCATATAAACCGTGTCGCGGACACCCCCATGTTGAAATGACGCTATGCATTACGGGGCTCCCAGGGGCAGATAAGAGTTGGTCTCTCTCCGAGAATAATTATAAATTTAACAATGATTACTGCCTGATGACATTTTCCCAAATCTGCAAAGCTTACTGGAAGGACACAAACTGAGGACAATATTTTCCTGATATAGGGTTTACTACTCAAGTAAGGGTAAAAAAGTATCTGATTAGAAGGCTACTTGAGTACTGAGCATCACCTGATCTAATATTTTTAAAATGATGACATCAAACAGACAAAAATAAGAAGTTATGGGCAAATATTGGTATTTTAAAGACTAAAGGGGAAAAATGTAAACAACTAAACAACATAATTACAAAATAACACATTTTAGGCAAAAGTGAGACACAAAGTGAGGACAATATTTTCCTGATAGACAGGATTTATTTAGAAAATGTAACACGTTTAAAAAAAATACCGCGATAATACCGAAAACCGTGATAATTTTGGTCACAATAACCGTGAGGTTAAATTTTCACACCATGACAACCCTAGTTTGTATGTACTTTGTACTCTTCATACACCACAAAGTGTTGCAAACACTAAGCCATTTTTACAAAGATCATCAAAGATTCGTCTTAACATTGGCCTCTAGACAGTTTTAAATGCTTGTTTGCATAATAAGTGCATAGGGCTTTTTGTATTTGTTCACTCACTGTTGACAGCAATCCATTCATTGAGATCCTCGCCCTCTGGGAGCATGACAGCCTGTCTCAGGTTCCCACTGCCCAGCGTTGCTTCAGCATGTTTCAGTAGCTCATACTGGTGGGAGCCCTCTGGGATATTTTTCTTCGGCTTGAAGGTCTTAGATGAGCGACTGCCACTGAAGAGAGAACACAAAGATAAGTAAATAAATAAATGTAAACAACGGAAGACTGTGTTATGCTCTATTGAAAGCTGCTTAAAGGGCAAGTCACCCCCTACACGTCTTACTCCACTCCCACTTCCTGTTTGAAAAATGCAACAAATGCCGTTACCTAGCAGACTGAGAGGATGGAGCCACTAACAAATACACTAACACAGGTGCCAACAACAACATTGTGACATCGTAATGTACCAGCTTACATCATAGAATACCTCTTAGCCAATAGTGATGGCAGATTTAAATTCAAATGCAGTGTACATTTTTTACCTGACGATTGTGCAACACTGACCGTTTTGGCAGAATATTTTAACTAAGGTGCACTAAAGTGCCAAATTATTGACTGCATGTGTCTACAGCACAATTAGACACTCATTTATATAGTTTATTAGAAGAAAAAAGTCTCAGCCTTTTCCTGCCTGCGTATTTGTCTTGATGAATAATATGACTTGATAGTTAATAAATGTATCGTTACGGCACTTATTAATGTATATGCGTCATTCAATTGTTTTAAAGAGAAAATTTTCAATCCAATTATCAAAGCTGTCAACAGATTATAATGAACCTTCAATCGCATGTTAACACTCTAAAATAGAAACGATGCAAAACTGATGGACTGAGTCAACTAAAAAAACATCTATTTTCTAGGTTTCGTCTGTGTTTTGCCTTTTTACAGCATTTTTGCTTCATTTGGTTAATTTGTTCTACTTGATTTGGTGTGGCAGATCATATTTAAATCAAACGTGCAATTAGCTAGCTGCTTTCACACATTCGTTAAACTAACATAAAACTGTGACTTTTGGTTTTCAGAGGAACTAAAGCATATCTGTAATATGTGGTAACCTCGTTGTTGCAAGTGACAGGAAATGTGACCGTGTCTAACGGCGTGACTGTAAACACAAGACAGAGATTAACTTCTTCAGCATTTGGAGATCTCCAAAAGATTAAGACACTATAGCTGAGCACCAGTTTTAACTTAATGTTAGCGTAAATTATTATGCTAATCAAGTTAGCGTAACTATTTTTTCTCCAAGTTATTTCTGCCAAAAAGTGGTTATAAATAAACGTAGGTGAAAATCGAAAAACGTCGACAAATGATATTACATATAAGGGGAAACGATTTACATTTGACCCCGTAGTTTTGACATTCGATTAGCTGTCTGTTTTTTGTTAGTGTCTCGGTTGAACTTCCCTTCTGTCGGCGAAGTACGAAGAAGCGCAGCTAACATTAACCACAAGCTCTCCGACTGAAAGTCAGGAAGCACTTTTTCACACTTTACTCACAACAAGAAGCTCATCTTGACGAAGACGCTGTTGGGGAATCTCGGCTGGAACTCCTGGTCCTAGTTTAGAAGGCAGGAATTTTGTTTTAGAAACGTATTTTGGGGATAAGCACTGCCACCTAAATAGCGTTGACGGCTACTTTGGCTGAACTGAAACTGCACCCACACAGTGACTCTTCCTCTGTTGGCTAATTGCAGCAGTTCATCGGGTAGTCTAGCGCCCCTCTCAGGTAGAGAATAGGTATGACACTCATAAACTTTTTTTGTGCAGGAGGAATTCATTTTTATTAAAATTGTTTTATACAAAAGTATGAAAATACAGTGACATGTTTTGTTTTACAGTCTTTTTAGGAAAATTTGCATTCCTTATTTTGAGTTTACGCTTGTTAAGTCATACTGTTGTTTATTTATCCTCATATTTTACTCACTGGGGAATACAAAATTGTCTGCAAGTTGACAGAGACAGAAGGAATTTGGAGGTTCAGAGTAAAGTCTGTAGTACTAAGTCTCAGGGCCTCTTGTTTTCAAGCATTTTATGTTGATGATCACAAGAATGGACTACAATGACCATTCACCATTTTAACCAGCGTAAAATATAAAATTTAATTGACTCCACATGCAGCAACATTCAGTGTGAGCAAAAGTACTAATTGCATTAACTAACATAAATGTATAAAAAAATATATAAAAAAAACATGGCTTTTGGAAAAATGCAGCTGTAGCTTCAAACCTCAATGAAATACTGAAGGCTTAGAAGACTCCAGTATCTCCTAGGCCAACTGCTCCATGAAAGCTTTGTGGGTGAGTAGCTTTGAATGAGTGTGGTCCTGTCTCAATTTGTGTAGCCCCTTGTGGAGAAGGTAACTGTTTGCTGCTGCTACATCAACAAAGTGATAGAAGAAAGCCTTGTACCATTTGCTTGTTTTGTACTGCAATCTGTAAGAAGAAATCAGTGCATCCGACAAACCCACCCCACCTACATTCTTGTTGTAATCAACCACGCAGTTAGGAACAGGGATGGATTCATTTTCCCACACACCACCCTTTTTTATTTGTCTCTTTATTGTCTGCCCACTGAAAGCCTGATTGACAGTGGGGCAAATGTTAACTACCTTTGTGTCCATCCACTTGACAAACAGAAGTTTGTCTCTTCTTAACCATCAGATGTTCCCCCGCTCAGCCGTTTTCTGCAGGTCGATCGTTGGCACTCTTCTGAGGGAATCCGGTTGTACCTTTCTTGACAGTTCCACAACAACCAATCTTCTTTGCAGGCAAATCAGTGAAAAGAGTGGGGCTGGTGTAAAAATGGTCAGAGTACAGGATGTAGCCACTGCCCAAAAATCAAAAAGTCAGAAGACCCATCACATTGGAGTAGCTCAAATCATGGTCTTTGGAGGAATTAGCTTGGCCAGTGTACACAAAAAAATTCCAGGTGTAGCCCGTTGATGAATCTGCCAACACAAATAGTTTGTGTTGGCAAGTGGCGACTAACCGTTCATTTAACGACAAATTTTGATATGGTTGGAAATTAGATTTGCAGGCAGTCACTATTTCTGTGTAAAGTCAAGTGGTTTTATTTTGAAGAATGTGTCATACTCAGCAGTGTTCTTTTTCTTTTCATTTTCTTCATCTTCCTTTGGGTTGCAGATGAAGACACCAGATTCGAAACGGTCCTGTGCCATCTTGTCACCGGGAAAGGGGAAGTTGTACGGCCAGGCCTTCCTCCAGTAATCAGACCTGTGGTGGACGGACACCAGGCTGGTGAAAATGATAATAGAAAAGAACGTGTAGAAATCCTTCACCGTCAGCACTTTCCAACTGAATTTCTGACCTGCCTTTTTCGTAATATCTGCATTTGCATTTGTGTTTGCTACTATTGTTTTGATGGCAGAAGTAGAAAAAAAAGCTGGAAGAGGCTGAATGGAGTGGTGTCAAATGTTGGTCCGAGGATCCTGGCAGGCATGAATCTGAGAGGATCAGGTTTTGTGTCTTCATCTCGTCTGTCGTGCAAATCATCTTAAATGTTTGAAAAACTCTCTCTCCTCTCTTGTCTCTCAGTTAATACAAAGTGTTATCTAATCCCTGCATTAAAAAGTTCCAATCTTCTGATTAGATAACCCAGTGGTCCGTAAGTCATACTTGATATGAAATCTTAACATCTCACGGTCCTTAATTAAATGTAAATTACTATAATTGCACAATGGTGAGCCATTGCCTGATATTTACAAATTTTTGGACACTTTGTGCTAAGTCTGAGACATATTTAAACAGTATCTAAAATACTTCTAATTAAAAATGTGATGTTTCCGGTTGAAAACGAGGCGATCGCATAATCCGCCACTAGAGAGCAGCATCTCCATTTAAAGCAAAGGGGGGTTGACATCAGTCATCCTCCACAGGAGGCGCTGTTTCATCTCAAATCATCCTAAGCCTCAATCAACAGCGTCCTCACGGCGGCCATCTTACTTCAGACAGCTAACCGTTCTCTAGTTGAGGGTGAGTGCGCGGCTCAAATAAAAGTACTTATAACTCGATGAAATATTAACGGATTTACAAACGGTTTGCCTTATTACAAACCGTATGATACATAGACTTGACGCGGGATATTTACACATTTTGAAATGACCGCTTTTACTTTTCAAACACAACATACTTGTGAACAATGTGTCTCATCTAATCTCGTGCGCGTTAGGTTGAGAGAGAGAGAGACCACAATCAATATTTTATAGGGTTCGTATGGTTCAACGAAACTAAGAAGTGTACCTAAACCTAATGTTTGTCTAAATGGCTGTCTTGGTGGATGTTTTAGTGTTTATTAGCTGTCTAAATTGGCTTAGAGAAGACGGGGATGCTGTGGCTGCGCCGCTTAGCTACAATGTTTTACCTCAGTGGAAGCTGAGGGTAAAATTGCCCTTGGTTTCCAGGCGGCTTACTTTGTTAAAAAAAATGTAAAAAAATAACTTTGAAGTATATTAAAATAGCGGAAATTGCTGGCTTTGTTTTTACAGAAATACATGTGAAACCCATCAAGCATGCCTGACTTTTGTGCTGCCTATGGATGCTCTAATAAACGATGTCTTCTATCACAACAACGTGGGACCACCTATTGTAAGATTTAACAATAACAAACATTCAACTGTGTTAGGCTGATAAGTCTCTGTTATCTGCTTTGCTTTTGAACTATTATTAGAAAACTGCTTTTTAGAAATAACAGTGATGGCAAAGTTTAAGATCTATCAGCTAATTGTGATTTTAAAAAGTTTCATTGCTTGAATTCAAGATTTCTTGTTTAGTCAATCATTGCATGTTTCTGTCTTGACACCTTTTGTTTAACTATTGTTTGTCTTATGTTCATGTTAAAGGAAATGGCGGTAAACAATTTACAATGATTTTTAAAGCTGCCTACATTTTGTCACTTGTTTAAGATTTCCCAAAGATGGAGAAAGAAGGAGGTAGAGGGAAGTTGCCCTAAGAAGTGTCTGCGATCTTCCTCAGAGCTGACGCTCAGTGGCGTCACGATCAAAACTGTCAGCAAGGTAAAAAAAAAAACCTTCCCTGTGTTTCAAAAAGAACCTAAAAATGCAGTCAGAAGAAAAACACAAAAGATGTTTGTAGTCTTTTGAAAAACTGCTGGCTTATCAAATCCCCCTGATAAATACAATGAATAAATTCCACACTTACTAATCATGATTACTTGTTTGCCTTTAGGTAGTCAAACTATAGTTCTTGTCTGATTTCTCTCCTGACATCATGTTGTTCTATATGCCTATGTAAAGTATAAAGGCAACCACACTGTCCAGTTCAGTGTTTCCCTTACATAGGTGTAGCCATGACGCCCGCCTCGGCTGAAATCCCACCGCCACGCCTACAAGATCCCAAGTTTTATTGTTTGTTTATTTTTTATTTTATTTTATTTATTTATTTTTAATTTTTTTGCGCCGTTTCCCGAAGAAGCAGCGGGAACTACTGTGTTGTTGCTTGTGATCACAGCCGGCAGGCAACAAGGAGGAGGAGCCAGGGCAGGGTGGTTACAGCTAGTGATGAGCGTACGGATAAAGCATTTTTGACGAATACGAGCATGAAATGAGTAAAACTCGTAAATATCTGTAATCGTGCTGAAGGAAAATCCTCATTGGGTAACTGACTGTCTTCACGCTCTGTGACTGGCCAATCACATTGAGCGCCCGCCCCTCCCTACACGCAAAACTCTGCAGCCGGGATGGGAGCTCAGTCCGCTCGGCCCAGGCATCCATGCGCACACGCACACACAGACAGTAACAGATCTCTCTGTGCTTGCTTCACTGTAGCCCACGTTTCTTCAGAACTCCCTACGTTTTCTTCAGCTCGCCTCTTTTTCAGTTCAATATTTAAAGTTACTTTTTTCGTAACGTACGTGGTTGCATTTGACAAGACAGGGCTGAAAACGGCTCGTGCATGCGTCAGTCACTGCCTCCACTCCGGTCAGGTTTTTTAAAATTATTTTAACTCACTCTCTCTCTCCCACTCTATCTCTCTCTCACACACACCTTAATCAACATTGTTTTGTTTAACTGTGTGTGGGGAAAAATGCCAACAACGTTAGGAAAAAATCAGTTAAATCAAAAATAAAAAGTTGTGTCTGGTTCTAATATTTCATATTTCCTAGTTCCTACTGCATGAGTTCAGATCATGGTTCAGATGCATTACTTCATGCACTTAAATATTAATGTTCTGATTTTACTGAAAAACTTGTTGATTCCTTTACTATTGTGATCAAAAATATTTAATCTCAGTTCTGAGGCTGCTCTGTAAATAGTTTTCAAATAAACAACCGTTTATAAATAAACAACTTCTGATCAATCCATATCAATTTCAGATTTAAAATAATGAATTGATGTAAACCACACCCACTAATTTCCAAATAATAAGAGGTGCATTCATCTGTGTATCTCCTTTGATCCGCATTAGTGATGTTTTCAGCACCAGAACAATGAAACAAAGAAACAGATTCCTGAGTTTGTTAGTAATTTTATTTATTAGATGCATCTGACCTGTTCTATTTTTCTCTGAAATGAGATCAAATCAGTGCTTCTATGGGTTGTCTCCTCTCTGCACTAGAAAATTTTACTTTATTATAATGTTCACTGTAATGCATCTTGATGTTCTTAACAAATGAATAACATCAAAGATATTGGTAAATAATGCCAAATATGTAAATTTGTGTTTCAGTCATTTTTATACTGGCTTAAAAATGCTTCATTAAGTCTACTAAGCAGGAGTGTAGAATGTTTTTAATGGGGCCAGCCCAGTAATGATCTTGGACCAAAATAAAGGGGGGTGTAAGGTTATGAAGTTCATTGCTTTCAACTCCATACAGCTGCCCCCTGGGCACAATAACACCGTGTAGAAAAACCAAGGTCGGGTGTTCCTCAGACTGTTTACATTCTAGGAGAAGAGTCCGAAGGAGAAGAAGAAGCTTTACTTAATCAAAGTACTTTATTTGTGATTAAAATTATTAAGCAAAACAGATGTTGATCAACAATAATCAAGTGAATGATCTGTGAAATAAATATGTCATGAATTATGTTTAATGAAACCAGGACTACGGCACAGACATACTGATCCTCATCTCCATAGAAACGCATGACACATTGTTCCAACCAATCAGAGCTTTCGGCTGCCGCAGGAGAATCTGGTGTTGACTTCAAGTGTCCAATCCACTTTACTCCAACTTATCAACAATTCAGAGATATAAAACAAGGCAACGCCATTTTAAGCTTAGTTCCATTTTGACTTCAGTTCTATTCAACATCATCCTAAAGAAAAGCACAGCCTGTCCAGATGTGTTTTCTTCTCTAAACTAAGAACTGTGAAACGGGAGATTTTCGTCATTTAACAACCAGACGACGTCCTTTCAAAATAAGAGCACCTGCTGACGCCGACGAACGGTACCGGGGTCGACCCTCCAGACGGGCTTTGAAACGTTGCGACCGCTGCACCGACAGCTCCAGCGTACATCCGAGGTTCTTGGACCTGGCATTTCCTGATCTACCTGGGAGACCCCCACTGGGTACGTACACGGCAAAATAGCGGCTCATGTCATCACTTTATAAGCCTCGTGATATCTAGTCATAACAAAGACGACCAGATTCGATTACGTCAGCCTAGAGAATCTGAACCAAACACACACACACACACACACACGCACCAACACAACATCCGAATCCATTCTCATCCATCACAGAGTAGTCCTGGTAGATTGTTTAGAATTTATAATTCAGAAATTAAAGATTCTCAAACGATCCCATCTCTCTCTCTTTTATTGTCTCAAAGTCAATACAGAGTGTTTAATTAAACTCCCTGATGATAAAAACAGCCTATTCTTCTGTTTATAAAAAGTGAACTACTAACAGTGTATTAAAATACAACTTTAGATAGTTACATCACTTTGATTCTGTTACAATATGGCGAGCCAGCCAGGAGACCCCCACTGGGTACGTATATTGTATGTATGTACCCATAATTTTACTCCTCATTGTGCCACCTTGTGGAATAATCGAGTAATTGTTTCAAACAGAAAGTCTTTGTTTAACCTGCAGTGGTTTGATCAAGGAATTATCTTTGTACATGATATTATGGATAAAGATTGTGAAATATTACAGCTACAGAATTTTAAATATAAATTTAATAACATTCAATGTACTCTTCAGGAATATGAGAAAGTATGTAAGGCTATACCAGTGACTTTGATACAGATGATAAAAAACACAATCCTATTCTCTAATGTTCAAACAAAACTTCCTAATTTATTAATAGGAGAATTGAACATCACAGAAAGAAAATGTGAAAATAATTTTTTATGGAGCCTTTAAAAATATATCTATCATGATTATGATATAAAGATTAAACTAAAAATATTAGGAAATCCGGTAATTGAAGGAAAACAATTAAAATTTCTAAAATGGCCTAAAATGCCAAAAGTAAAAGAAATGCAATTTAAAATTCTTAACGACAACCATCCATCAGCAGAGACACAGAGGAAGAGATTTGGTTTTGAATTTGACCCTTGTGAATTCTCTAAGGGAAGCCCTGAAGGAATAGAACACTTATTTTTCAGCTGCCCTGTCAGTAAGAAGTTTTAGGAAGAAGTCCTTTGTTGGTTAAGAAATAAAATAAGAGAACTTGATCGTTTTACAAATGAAGATATTATTATTTACAATTCTAAATTAAATGGGAATAATTCATTGTTAACACTATTATTATTATTATGGGTAAATGCCACATCCTCAAAAGCAAATGGAAAAAACAACTGCCAAACATGAACTGTTTAATAGATGAATTCCGTATGTTCTTATTCACTTTGATTCGTACAAAAAATTCCAATGCAACTGCAAAAGCCATTTGTCATGCTGCAGAAAATCGTTTAATCTGGTAACACTGTTTTTACTTTGTGATATAAGTGCCTCTTTTTAAGTTTCTTATTTGTTTTTCTTTTATTGTTACTAAGGACGCCTTGCATGTTTCCATTATGTGTTGTTGTCTCCACGAGAAATTGTAATAAGCATATATTGATAATAAAAACATAAAAAACAGCGCGGGTGAGGGATCTAGCTAATATATCTATGTGCATAAACTCATCAGAAACGAACGCTCGGCCAGCGTCTGCACGTCAATCACGTGACCAAGCGCAAGCGTCGGGTCTGCTCTCAGTCTGCACCTAACGGTCTGCACGCATCTCCTTTCCTAGTCCTTTAATACGTCACTACTACCTGCCAGCGTCTGCACGTCAATCACGTGACCAAGCATAAGCGTCGGGTCATCTTCTTTCCCTTTAATACGTCACTCACTGCTACCTATTAGCTCATTTCAACCTTGAGGTTGGTAGGTGTTGCACGTCGGATACCGGTTGGGAAAAAAAACGTTTCAAAGGAGTTTCGTGTTTTTCTGGCTTATTTCACTTCTGATTACTAGCAGTTTAACCTCAGGTGAGTTTTTAAAAAGCAGAAATTCAGCTTTTTTCTAAAGAAACTCAAAGGTTCTTTATGTCTGAGGAGCACAGTAACCTGACACTTGTGGCTGAATTCAGTTTATCCACTGTCAGCGATTCAGTTAAACAGCCAATCCAGGAATCCAGAATGAACGAATATACTAGAATTCAAGCCTTAAAACAGAACATCAGTAGGGAGCGTGAAGGATTTGAGGAAACCCCGTTTCACCAAGTCATATCTGAGCCCAGTACTCAGAGCCTTGACACTGAATTCATGTTTCCCTCTGTCATTGATGCAGTTAAACAGCAAATCCAAGAAACCAGAATGAAGGAAAATTCTATTATTCAAGGATTAAAGTTTAAACTCACAGCTCTGATTCAAGGGCTTGAAGAACAAATGTTTAAACTTCAAAAAGATCGAGAAGATTTTGAAATCAGCAAAGTTAGGTCAATTGAGGAAATAGAGGGTATGAAATCTCTTCTGCTGGATCAGAGAAAAGACTTTGAAGAGGAAAGATCTCGATCAGATTACGAGATAAATGAAATTCGGACTTTTCAGCAAGATGAAAGAGAAATGATTGAACTTTTGAAAGACAATTTAACAGTTCAGAGCAACTTCCACAAGGAAGAAAAAGTAAGATTACAAGAGGAATGGCATCATCTCGAGCAGGCAAAACTCCAAACGAAAGAGGTTTATGAAAACCTACAGGAGGAAAATGAGAAATTGAAGACACACATAAAGGATATCGAGAGAGCCAAAGCAGACGCTGATAGAGAGATTGAAAACATGAAAATTCAACTCGAAGCAGATAAAACGTTGTTTGAACAGACGAAGAAAAGCTCAGAGCTGGAGTTTGTAACTATGAGAGAAGCTTTGGATGATGAGAAACGTCAGCTTGACTGTGAGAAAACAGAGTTTGAGAAAACAAAGACTGAATCACAGCAGGAGATAAGAGACACCATTCAAATGCTGAATGATGAGAAAATGGATCTAGAAATTAGAAAGAAAAGCTCTGAGCAGGATTTAATAAATATGAGAAAAGCTCTGGATGATAAGAAACTTCTGCTTGAAGCTCTTAAAGAAAACCTAAATAAGCAGAGAATTGTGTTCGAACAGAAAAAGACTAAATCACAGCAGGAGATAAGAGACACCATTCAAATGCTGAATGATGAGAAAATGGATCTAGAAATTAGAATTGAACATCTAAACGAAGAGAAACGCGAGCTGGAAGCCAGATCCCAGCTCAATGACAAGCAGAAGGCTACAGTTGAGGAAGAAAGGCGGTTACTGCAGGAACAAATTATTAAACAAAACGATGAGAAAAAGAAACTGGAGGAAACAAAAATCAAATTGGATCAGGTCTACGACAAACTGCTGAAAGGTAAAGCTAAACTGAAGAAAAACATCCAAAAGTTTAAGACTAACGAAGCAGAAATGCAGGAGATGATGGGAAGTCTAGAAGAACAGAAAAAGGTGTTCGACGAGACAAAGAAAAGCTCTGAGCAGGATTTAATAAATATGAGAAAAGCTCTGGATGATGAGAAACTTCTGCTTGAAGCTAGTAAAGAAAACCTAAATATGCAGAGAATTGCGTTCGAACAGAAAAAGACTGAAACCGAACAGGAAATAAGAGACACCGTTCAAATGCTGAATGACGAGAAAATGTTTCTAGAAATTAGAATTGAAAATCTACACAATGAGCAATCTGAGTTTGAACAGAAAAAGACTGAATCACAGCAGGAGATAAGAGACACCATTCAAATGCTGAATGATGAGAAAATGTGTCTAGAATTTAGAATTGGACGTCTAAACGAAGAGAAACGCGAGCTGGAAGCCAGATCCCAGCTCGTGGACAAGCAGAAGGCTACAGTTGAGGAAGAAAGGCAGTTACTGCAGGAACAAATTATTAAACAAAACGATGAGAAAAAGAAACTGGAGGAAACAAAAATCAAATTGGATCAGGTCTACGACAAACTGCTGAAAGGTAAAGCTAAACTGAAGAAAAACATCCAAAAGTTTAAGACTAACGAAGCAGAAATGCAGGAGATGATGGGAAGTCTAGAAGAACAGAAAAAGGTGTTCGACGAGACAAAGAAAAGCTCTGAGCAGGATTTAATAAATATGAGAAAAGCTCTGGATGATGAGAAACTTCTGCTTGAAGCTAGTAAAGAAAACCTAAATATGCAGAGAATTGCGTTCGAACAGAAAAAGACTGAAACCGAACAGGAGATAAGAGACACCATTCAAATGCTGCATGATGAGAAAATGGATCTAGAAATTAGAACTGAAAATCTACACAATGAGCAATCTGAGTTTGAACAGAAAAAGACTGAATCACAGCAGGAGATAAGAGACACCATTCAAATGCTGAATTATGAGAAAACATATATAGAAATTACAACTGGACGTCTAAACGAAGAGAAACGCGAGCTGGAAGCCAGATCCCAGCTCGTGGACAAGCAGAAGGCTACAGTTGAGGAAGAAAGGTGGTTACTGCTGGAACAAATTATTAAACAAAACGATGAGAAAAAGAAACTGGAGGAAACAAAAATCAAATTGGATCAGGTCTACGACAAACTGCTGAAAGGTAAAGCTAAACTGAAGAAAAACATCCAAAAGTTTAAGACTAACGAAGCAGAAATGCAGGAGATGATGGGAAGTCTAGAAGAACAGAAAAAGGTGTTCGACGAGACAGAAAAGCTCTGAGCAGGATTTAATAAATATGAGAAAAGCTCTGGATGATGAGAAACTTCTGCTTGAAGCTAGTAAAGAAAACCTAAATATGCAGAGAATTGCGTTCGAACAGAAAAAGACTGAAACCGAACAGGAGATAAGAGACACCATTCAAATGCTGCATGATGAGAAAATGGATCTAGAAATTAGAACTGAAAATCTACACAATGAGCAATCTGAGTTTGAACAGAAAAAGACTGAATCACAGCAGGAGATAAGAGACACCATTCAAATCCTGAATTATGAGAAAACATATATAGAAATTACAACTGGACGTCTGAACGAAGAGAAACGCGAGCTGGAAGCCAGATCCCAGCTCGTGGACAAGCAGGAGGCTACAGTTGAGGAAGAAAGGCGGTTACTGCTGGAACAAATCATTAAACAAAACGATGAGAAAATGGATCTAGAAATTAGAATTGAAAATTTACACCATGAGCAATCTGAGTTTGAACAGAAAAAGACTGAAACCGAACAGAAGCTAAGAGATGTTGTTGAAATGCTGAATGATGAGACAACATATCTAGAAACTAGAATTGAAAATCTACACAAAGAAAAATCTGAGTTTGAACAGAAAAAGACTGAAACCGAACAGGAAATAAGAGATGTCCTTCAAATGCTGAATGATGAGACAACATATCTGGAAATTAGAATTGAAAATCTACACAAAGAAAAATCTGAGTTTGAACAGAAAAAGACTGAAACCGAACAGAAGATAAGAGATGCTGTTCAAATCCTTAATTATGAGAAAACATATATAGAAATTACAACTGGACGTCTAAACGAAGAGAAACGCGAGCTGGAAGCCAGATCCCAGCTCGTGGACAAGCAGGAGGCTACAGTTGAGGAAGAAAGGCGGTTACTGCAGGAACAAATCATTAAACAAAACGATGAGAAAAAGAAACTGGAGGAAACAAAAATCAAATTGGATCAGGTCTACGACAAACTGCTGAAAGGTAAAGCTAAACTGAAGAAAAACATCCAAAAGTTTAAGACTAACGAAGCAGAAATGCAGGAGATGATGGGAAGTCTAGAAGAACAGAAAAAGGTGTTCGACGAGACAAAGAAAAGCTCTGAGCAGGATTTAATAAATATGAGAAAAGCTCTGGATGATGAGAAACTTCTGCTTGAAGCTAGTAAAGAAAACCTAAATATGCAGAGAATTGCGTTCGAACAGAAAAAGACTGAAACCGAACAGGAGATAAGAGACACCATTCAAATGCTGCATGATGAGAAAACATTTCTAGAAATTAGAATTGAAAATCTACACAATGAGCAATCTGAGTTTGAACAGAAAAAGACTGAATCACAGCAGGAGATAAGAGACACCATTCAAATGCTGAATGATGAGAAAATGTGTCTAGAATTTAGAATTGGACGTCTTAACGACGAGAAATGCGAGCTGGAAGCCAGATCCCAGCTCGTGGACAAGCAGGAGGCTACAGTTGAGGAAGAAAGGCGGTTACTGCAGGAACAAATCATTAAACAAAACGATGAGAAAAAGAAACTGGAGGAAACAAAAATCAAATTGGATCAGGTCTACGACAAACTGCTGAAAGGTAAAGCTAAACTGAAGAAAAACATCCAAAAGTTTAAGACTAACGAAGCAGAAATGCAAGAGATGATGGGAAGTCTAGAAGAACAGAAAAAGGTGTTCGACGAGACAGAAAAGCTCTGAGCAGTAGATCAGAAACGAGTTATTCATGGAGACAGAGCAGCTGGTGAGTGAATTGAAATGAAAAGCTAATTACTGAATAACTTTTGCTGCACACAGGCTGCTTTACACAGCAGCTCTTGGTTCAGCAGGTTACGTCTAAGTTACCCTAACCCTTACTCAACACATCAGCTGGGTTTCCTTAGATAGAAAATATTTGCATTTGATTAATAAATGAATAAAAATGACACATAAAATAAAAAAATACATAAAAAAAAAACTAACTCTGCCTGAGTGTCCCTTTTGGGTCACGTCTGCCAGTCCCAAGCCTGGATAAAAGAGGAGGGGTTTTATTTGTGACACAAAACAAAAACATGGTTTTATTTCACACTTTTTGTCTCCCTCATGAGAGTATTCTTCTATGGGGAGCCTGAGAGTCCTCTCTTTCCAGTCGGCTCATGAGTTCCCAATGTGGCAAGGTGGAGAAACGAGGACCCGGGCGGGATTCAATCCCCAGGCTCCCGGGTGAGAGTCATACGCTCTAACCAGTCAGCCAAAGGGACATCCCCTGTGACAGTGTGAGCGTCCTGTCACAATGTCCCGATTGATCACGCGCCCTGGCTACTTGGCCAAAGGGATGTCCCTTTGGCTGACTGGTTAGAACGTATGACTCTCACCCGGGAGTCTGGGGATCGAATCCCGCCCGGACCCTCGTTTCTCCACCTTGCCACACCAGGAAGAATGAAAGCAAGTGAACGGGGCTAAAAGAGACATTTTCTAATCCGCTTTGCCTAACGCCCTGAGTCACACACACGTCATACTTCAATTTAAATGAAAAGTAGGATGTGTGTTTTGACCATGCCATAAAACGAGATGTGGTAAGTAGCAGCTAAGCTAGGGGAGAGGAGATTCTCTGGTGACGTCATACATGCGATGCACCGACATTTGATTTGCAGTCATGCTAATGACGAATTTTATTGAGCTACTCTCAAAGTACGTGACTGGCGTGGTCGAAACACACTTCATTACTTTTCATTTAAATTGCAGTATATAACATATGTGCGATTCAGGTAAAGTGGATCAGAAAATAGCTCTTTTAGCCCCGTTGACTTGCATCCATTTTTTCATTCTTCCGGTGAACCGTGAGCCGACCGGAAAGGGAGGAGACCTAGGCTCCCTACACGACACACGGCCAATAATGCTAGGTTATTATATAGTTTAGGCATCATTTTTATGTTGTAATTTCTAATAACTAGACAATTCCTGAAGATATTTTAAAAGCAACCTGCCATCTGACACTATGAGACATTTTATTGCAGTGTTTTAAAGCGCACCGCGACCCGCCCCCTTCGATGACATAATTGAATGAATAATTAACTAATTCATTAAATGGCAGGCCAATTAGAGAGGCATTCTTGCTGTGTTTTTCACTAAATACATCACTAAATGAATCTTGGGGTGATGTTGGGGTGATGCATTACACTTCCAAGACCGAGACGCTGTTTTCATGTGTCTTATGTAGGGGTGCAGTACTCTGCTTTCTTTTGAATTATTTGACAATAATCACTAATTTCGTAACTAATGAGTTGGTAAAACAAATCGCGTTAGACACTGCTTCCAAAAGAAGCACATTTCTTTACCATTATGTTACAGTATTTTTTCTTGGGTTGGGTGAATATAAAGTCTCAATGAGACACGCATCTGTATTTTACGCAGACTGGTGCCTGGGGGTGTGACGACTCTGCTCTTTTATTCTTTATGATAGGACCTGTTTGAAAGCGAGATGTCACAGCCATCTCAAGCAGTTTTAATCTCATGAAAAAAATATATATCAGTTGGTGATCGATAGGTAACATCCGCCGATATTGATGCATCCCTAATTTTTAGACATTTTTTCAGCAAATTTGATTTAGACAGAATGCAAGCTCAAATGGTGTCGGTGGCAGCCTGAAGTGTTTCCATCCAGTTGACCTAAATGGTACATACAATCAAATAAACAGATTACAATTAAAATTTAGTCAAAGGTCAAAGGTAAAAAGAAGTTACTGGTTACTTTTGGTATTTGATTTTTTATGTGTTTGAGTTATTTTCATTCATTGTGATCCAAATACATTAATGCTGTCCAGTTTAACGCTTGTGGTCGCCGATACACATGGACATTGGGCTGAGTCTGCTCCTCAATGGTGAATGGCTGCAGTGGGTGGCCGTCCACGGCCGCGATGCGAATGTGACAGGTGACAGGAACCAGGGTTATCTTCAGCTGGACGGCCAGGCCACGGTCCATAAAGTCATAGGCAGCCCTGGTATCCAGGAGGGCAGTTATCTTGGTCAGGGAATCGCCATCTGGGAAGCCCACTTGAATAAGGAGTCTTGAAGGGGCAGCAGGCGATTGAGCGCCAGGGAGGACACCCCCATGTCCTCCTGGCGGTGGTGTTTTCCGGCCGTTTGGGACATGCGACTCACCGGTGTTGGGGGGAACCACAGTAGGCACAACGGCCCTGGAGCCAGCGTCTTTCTTGTTCTGAATGGGGCAGACCTCCAAGGAACCTCCACAGGTTTTGCAGCTTGTTGTTCCTCCGGTGGGGGTTGTGGAGGTCGGCAGGCAGCACAGCTGCCACTTCAACCTATTGGTCTTAATGAGGATTTTGAAATGTCTGTATTTCTCTAAATAATAATTTATATGGTTGGATTATATATATATATATATATATATATATATATATATATATATATATATATATATATATATATATATATATATATATATATATATATATATGTGTGATAAAACTGCCATAAAAAGTCAATGCAATGTGCCTTGTGGATCTCATGCATACACATAAGCCGGCTGTTGCAGCGCTCCGCCAATGAAATGGCATCCGTAGATCAAGGCAGATCAAGGAAGCGCTATTTCACAAGCAGAAATTGAGGTACCTGTGGGTGAGGTGGAGAAATGAAAGGAAGTGCTTTTGCTAAACAAATGAGAAAATCCACGGAGTGGCACAGCGTTGCTGAAGCCGTCAATGTTGTGAATTTTTCAGAGAGATCTGTGGCAGATATTAAAAAATGGTCCAATTGGGATTCAATCCCAAGACTCCTGGGTGAAAGTCACGTGTGCTAACCAGTCAGCCAAACGGAGATCTCCCTAGTCCAAGTAACCAGGGTGCATAATCAATCGGGTCACAGTGACAGGACACACACTGTTACAGACGCATGACATTCCGTCTCAATCTGTCCCCCTTCTGATATTCTGCATTCCGTATTCTGCGCTTCAGGCTGTGTGTGTGTGTGTGAGTGTGCGTGCGTGCATGTGTGTGTGTGCATGTGGGGGGCCTTGTTCTGTGTGAAAACGAAGCGGTACAAGTGATAATGCTGCAGGATTTCATAATTTTATCCTTCTCAGCAGCAGCACTGCAGGTGCTCTCCATATCCAAAATGTGTGTAAGCCAGGTCCTTAGTCAACTTAAAGTTCCGCACATTTTTCCTCTATTTTTTCTTTCATAAATCCCAAAGTTTGCGTGGAAATTTGCTTACGCAGTTTTCCGACCCCGTTTTGTGCGTAAGCAAGCTTGATAAATGAGGCCCCAGCTCTCTCTTCACCATGACAGATCGGTACAACGCCTGCATCACTGCACATAGTCTCACACTCCATCTTTCCCTCTCTTGTGAACAAGAGCCCCCGATACCTAAACTCCTCCACCAGGAGCAGGGCCTCGTCCCTGACTCGGAGAAGGCATTCTACCTTTTCTGACTCATGACCATGGTCTCAGATTTAGAGGAACTGATTCTCATCCCAGCTGCTTCACACTCAGCTGTAAACCGCTCCAGTGAAAGCTGGTGAAAGATCACGTTCTGATTAAGCCAACAGGATCACATCATCTGCAACAAGCAGAGACCTGGGGCCTCATTTATCAAGTTTGCTTACGCACAAAACGGGGTCGGAAAACTGCGTAAGCAACTTTCCATGCAAACTTTGGGATTTATGAAAGAAAACTTAGCGGAAAAATGTGCGACTTTAAGCTGACTAAGGACCTTTCCGTAAAAGCCCTTGTTATATTAGCTTTGGCTAACTAGCAGCAAGCTAGCGACACTAGCTCGTGAGCTACTATCAAAATATATTTTTAATAACGTTTCAATAGTATAAAGATATAGGCACAAAGTAGTGACACAACAGCATTTATAACATTTATCACCACATACACACGCACGCACGCACGCACGCACGCACACACACACACACACACACACACACACACACACACACACACTTACACTTCTATAGTTCAGCTCAGTAGGTTTAGCCAGAAACTCCTGTTTGGGTGGGCCTAGTAAAAAATGGGTGGGCCCTATAAATGTAATTGAAAACACATCAGAAATAATGTTACTTTTAATTTTGTTGTATTTCATTTAATTGTATGATGGCCTAAAAGAACACCTCTCCAAAATAAAGTAACTTTACAGATCATTTTTAAGGGAACCATTTGATTGGGTGAGCCCTGGAAAAAAAAAAAAAGAAAAAGTGGCTATGGCCCATTCATATCCACGCCCCTGGTTCAACTCTCTCAACTTTATTATATGGCACCTTTCCCATGAATACATCCACAAAGTGCTTCCCAGAGAAAATTGTCTTTTTTTTTCGAATGGGATTTATTTTTAGGAGCTTTTGCTGATTGTCCCATTTGGAGGATGCTTGTGCTGATAAACAGGGTGTTGCTCATATGTAAAAGGGTGTGGACCACTTTTAGAAGCCTGACCAGGAACCCCTTCCCCTTTGTAGCAAATGCCCCCTTCATTCTACTACATTTAATCACATTTCAGATTGAAAGCTGATGCATGTAAAATGGCACCTAAGATCTTTAGTATAAGCGTCTTCATGTTTTGTACTTTATGTTTTGACAGGTAGAAAATTGCTGGTCCATATTAAATAGTTTAAGTTAGTTTGCAGCTGCTGTGAGTGGGCTGACTCTCTTAAGGCAGGCTGTTGTAAAATATAACAAGTAACACACTTCTTCCATTAATTAAAGTCTGCTTTAAATGGTAAGTGAACTAATTAATTTTTCTAGCTATTGAATTCAGAACATTTAGTTGGTAAGTATACAATTATCTAATATTTATAAATTGCAGAACTAGATGTTTTTGTTAGAAAGACATAAAATATTGTTGTGTTTTAATTTTTAGGAGAGATGATTTAAAAATTTTTTATCCAAATATTATGTGTCAAAGTCTTTACTTTAGTATACCTTCCTGCTTTTATGTTTATGTCAAACGTAAGCTATTATTGTGACATTCAACCAGTTAAAACAACAAATAAAAGAAAACTTGTATTTCCAGAACTATGCAGCATAAGGGACATAATGTACATCCGGTATTGCACATATATTGAACACATACTTAATATTCCAGCCAGGTGTAAAAAGCAATAAAGGTGCATAAAGCAATCTTAAAGCTGTTATAGCAAATCTGAAAATAGGCTAGGTATTGAATGCAACATGGTCATGGAACACTCACTCCTCCCCTCGGACATTTTTCCTGAGATGCTTCTGCCGGAACTGGAAACTCACATGAAACGAGGAGTGCTGAATGTCACACCCTGTCTTGTCTCCCCGTTCTGTAGTCATGTGTCTCTGTTAATTGCTCCCACCTGCCTCTTGTTTTCCAATCACCCAAGCTCCCAGTCCTCATGTATTTAAACCCCTTCAGTCCTGTGTCTCAGGTTGGTTCATTGTTTCAGTAGTCCAGCGTGTTCTGTTATTTAAACCCTTTTGGTAAACCGTTCCTGCTTGTCTGCCTGCCTTTGCACCCGCATGTGGATCCTGCCTCCGCTTCACTCACCGGCACGTGTGTGACACTGAACACCAGTCATGTTCTAGGTGCACATGTCTTTTGTTGTCCGTGACTTCAAATGTGGTTTTACTTTTTAGTTTGCCCTAAAATTGGAGCATTAGCAGCCAACTGTTTCTCCTCCTCTGATCATACTGAGCAGAGAACCTCTCACACCAGTGGTGTTCTGTTGCTAAATATGCAATTTCTTAATGAATAAAGGACCCAGGGAAGTGCGGCGGTTTGACAAGTCCAACAACCGGATGGTCCAAAAGTTGCTTTTCCAAAATGTGTAATTGGGGGAGGTTTTTAGACAAATACGAGAGCACTACTTTTTAAAAATTTTCATTTCTTAAAATCTCTATAAAATATTTATAGCTCTAATATGTTAGAGGTTGGTTATGAGGCCTGAAAAAAGTTTAAAGCTAATTTGTTTCCCAAATTTTCAATTACAACTGCAAAACTTTAAATTGGCTGTTTGACATGTTTTGTGATACATCGGCTTGCCTAAATTAATAACTGACGCAAATGTGACGCAGGAAAAAGGGGGGTTGCCTTTTAAAGCCTCTTTGGTCTTCCTCCTGCTTCCCAGGCGGTGCTCTGTCAGACCGAGTGTTGGTGTGTGAGATTCGTAACAAACGGGTGGTTGTGTGTTACTTCTTAGTGAGTTAGAAATGGCGGCGATCAGGACTCTCGGGAAACTGTGTCAACAGTCTCAGCATCAAGTCTGTAAACTGCACACATCCGCCTTGAGGTGAGTCGATCATTGATGGTTCTGCCTCTATCTGAGCGAATCGCACGTTCCCGCTCCAATCGAATCAAAAAGAGCGCGAATCAAATTTTTTATCCTGATCTCCTTCGCACGTGTTAGGTTCATTAATTGCGCCTGGATGAGGTCGATTGTTTTATGCGCAGTTTATTTGATTCATTTGTACTAAATGTCCGCAGTTGGTCGTATTGTAGTGCGCCCCTAGCTGCAAGCCGGTAGCATCGCAGCACTGGGGCGGCTGCGAGGCTGGCTGATGAAATCAGGGAAAGGGCTTGCACTCTTTGAACAGCTTCTTTATACCAATGTATTTGTTTGCATGATGGAAGTCAAGCATTTGTATTTTTGTTTATTATTAATATTAGATATGATGCCGGGGGAAAGTAACTGATAGGAAAGGGATGATGAGCATACAGCTGAGAAATTCGCATCCCGTGCAGGAATTTAGTAAAGGAATGAGCTGTGTGAAGCCTGACCCTGCATAACTAGGATGCATGTGATGTTCTAATGTTGCACGAATGCCTAATGAAATTATGAATCCTGCACATGATCTGCAAGATCACAAGATGGGTGCTATCAAATGTATCAATGGCATGCAATCATCACTTTTATTTATATGCATCATGCAGTAATTAACTGAACTGGCTGTAGAAAAAGAACATATAAATATTAAAGTTGGTTGAATTTTAAAATAAAAAGGACGTTTTGGTTAAGTTTGTATCAAAAATAAGACGTTTTCTGCTTGATAAATAACTTTTTTGTGGGGCAGTTTTCTTACAGACCTGACACAGTTTGTATACGCTGGCCCTGTGCTCTCAACCTGTTGCAACCAAACACTTTTCCAGGAGGTTTAATTGGTTTTGGCTGAAAGACGGGCTGTTACATCACTATCGATGGCTCATTACTCTGCAGTTATTGCCTTTAATTTGCTGTTATATAACCTAGAACCTTTTCAAATCAAAATAAACAGGTCAGCACTACATACGGTTATAAATACTGTTCTGATACCAGGAATATGATTCAGCCAAGTGCAGTTATGTTACCTCTAAATTTAGAAGCTTCACTTGCATGATCAAAAGCTATAAAAGGTTTCTGGTGTCAGAAGTCCTGTTAAATGCAGGCCATTTCCAGGAAGTAAGTTTTTTTTTTTCACTGATTAGTGACAGTTTGTGCAGCAGTCAGAATCAGAGCTTGTTGGTCATTTTTCCTTTATCTGGACCACTGACTTTTAGGCAGGACGCAGTGGTCGTCTCAGGAAGGAAACTGGCACGCCAGATTCGGGAGGAGACCCAGGTCGATGTGGAGAAATGGGTTTTAGCCGGCAACAGGCGACCTCACCTGAGTGTGGTTCTTGTTGGAGACGACCCAGCCAGTCACTCCTACGTTCTCAACAAGACCCGGGCAGCAGCTGATGTCGGTAAGTAGACAAAACAATCCTCGTATGTGAACCTATCTGACCTACAAGTGAATAAAAAAAGTTCGGTAACCAAGTTCTTCCACTTTTTGGATACATTTTTTACTTTAAAACCTGTTGAAAACAGAGCTTTTGTGAAGGTTAAGTCAGAGTCTTTAAATATCGGTTTTCTTTTGCACGCTGGGTTGTTTTCTCACTCTAAACTCCCACAGGAATCTCAAGTGAGACGATTCTCAAACACTCAGACATCAGTGAGGAGGAGTTACTGGACTTGATCTACAAACTCAATGCAGACCATCGTGTGGACGGCCTGCTGGTCCAGCTGCCTCTGCCAGGTTCATTAATGTGTCTGATTATGTGCTGTGTGCGTCTGTGTTTGTCCGTTTCTCCTGACTGAAACTTGTCTTTAACTTCCCCAAAGATCACATTGATGAGCGGGTAATCTGCAATGCGGTTGCCCCTGCCAAGGATGTAGACGGCTTCCACGTGGTTAACGTTGGCCGCATGTGCCTGGATCAGTCCACCATGCTTCCAGCCACCCCCTGGGGAGTCTGGGAAATCATCAAACGCACAGGTAGCAGGGGTTACGGCTCATTGTACATCCTCTCAAGATAGAAGTGCTGTTTAAATGGGTGTAAATGAGCTTTCCCCCTTTGTATTTTCCAGGTATTCCCACTTTTGGGAAGAATGTATTAGTTGCAGGACGCTCTAAGAACGTGGGAATGCCCATCGCCATGTTACTGCACACAGACGGACGCCACGAGAGGCCTGGAGGTTGGTGATGCTGATGGTCACTTGAGGCAACACATTTGAGACCAAAGAGTTAAGATTGTATTCTGTTCTTCCTGTCCTGCTTCAGGTGATGCCACAGTCACCATTTCTCACCGTTACACTCCAAAGGAACAGCTTTGTCAGCACACAAAAATGGCAGACATCATCGTGGCCGCTGCAGGTTTGTTGTTTTTTGTTTTGCTTATTTGTTTGGAAATCTCCATTTCTTTTTTTTTTCTTTTTTTTTTTGCTGGGATTGAGTTGCTTAACGGTGCTGTTTCCCTCTGTACCGTCAGGGATCCCAAACCTGATCACAGCAGACATGATCAAAGAGGGGGCAGCTGTGATTGACGTCGGAATAAACCGAATCCAGGACCCCGTCACTGGAAAAAGCCGCCTGGTTGGAGATGTGGACTTTGAAGGTACACAAAATATTGTGGCGTGATTGGAATATTGTATGAATCGACTGCTGTTCTGTAACATGTTTTCTGTCCACTTTCAGGCGTAAAGAAGAAGGCTGGATTCATCACACCAGTTCCTGGAGGTGTTGGGCCCATGACTGTGGCCATGCTCATGAAGAACACCATCAAAGCTGCCAAGAATGTCCTGCAGATTCCCGCAGAGAGGATCCGGATGGCTGCTGCATCCTAATGAGCCAGAGCACAGCTCGGCAGCAGAGACACATTCCACCTAACACCACACTCCTATGCTTCTTCTAACTTGGAGCGACCTGGTCGAGCTCTTCTTGCACACTGACTGAAAAGATGATCACGCTTGGAGGCTTTCAATTCTGCTGACATCTTTCTGAGGATCGAGTCCAGCAATGTTTAGTCTGTTACATCCGTTCATGCGTCTGCATGTCCTTTGTAACAGTATTTATCATTTGCAATGTAATTCTGTGACAGTTTTTAGGTTTTTAAAAATCTTGAGAGATTGCTTCTATTTATTGCTACAGAGACACATTTTAAACATGAATGCAGTGTTTATGACTCCAAGCTGAGTGACTGGTCTTTTCTTTTGTTGTTGATTTAGCCTTATGTATTAAGAGTGTTAAGGGCTAACATCAGGAATAAGATTATTTATCAAAAACATTATCAAGCTTTAAAGATTTCACATTTGCCTTTGCAGAAACTTTAAAATAAATACATGTATGTTGTCACATTGTGTCAAGTTGTTGTCACAGGTTTTCTATGCACAAATTTCATTCAATTGTCATAAAATAGGAAACTTGGGTAACATTTTATTTTGTTTTTGTTTTGATAAACAGATGAGTGAAGCTCCTAGTATGAGATGCTATTTTTAACTCAAGCTCTTTTTATTCCAGTGTAAAGTTGCAGTGGTTGTTCTGATCTTATGTGTTTGTAGGATTAGTCTGAGCTCATTGAAGCTGAAGGTTTATTTGTGCAAGCTTATTAAAAATTTGGTCCTGTTTTGGATATTCATACCCCAAAAAAGCAGTGTAAAATGTAAAATAAGGTAAAATACTGGAATTATTAAAGAACATTTTTATGAAAATGTTAACCATGTGAATTTATTTAAGATAACTAAGTGAGTTTGGACAGCAAGCGGAAAAAATGCTATTAGATTAGTATTGTTTCATTTTCCCTCCTGTGATGTCAAACCAACCGTACAAAAAAATTTAAAGGAATTTATGGAAGTATGAGCAAAATTTCTCTTAAAAAAACGTACAAGTTGTAAATAATGGGAAGGATTTTCAATAAGTTAACATATTATTTCTCGTTCTGTTTAAATATTATAACACCATATTTGGAAACAAAATTACAGTGTGGTGACAGCAAATTCACTCAGATCAAAACATCAGAATACTTTAATCTTAAAATGTTGAGTGGAAAAGGCTGAGTTTAGTTTGTGTTTCACACATTTAGTGTCTGAATCGTCGTGAACATAAATGTGTTTTTTGACAAGAATCACTGTTTCTAATCCATTTAAAATGTAAACCAGTGTATCGCATTTCAAAGAGTTTCAAAATACATCTGAATGTTAAAGTAATAAACATGCTTTTTATTATTGTAAAATGTGCTTTCAGGCCACGATAAAATACTAAGTAAACCTAAAGCGGAAATGGGAACCTTTGTTTTGTTCCGGGACAAAAATAGCAAACGGACACACTTCCGGTTTAAACATTTGAGCTTCCGTTAAAAGAACAACACTGTGAAAACGGTTCCAACCCCCTAAGAACCCGTTGTTCAGATGGACCGCGTAAGATCTTCGGACAGAGCTGGAAGAGAGAAAAAACACGAGAAAAAGAAACGAAAACGACCTCCTTCTTCCTCTTCATCGACCTCCTCTTCCAGCAGCAGGAGCAGATCGTCTCAGAAAAAAACTCACAGGAAGAAAGAAGGTTTGAACTGTTTTTTTTTGCGTGATACTCCCCGTGACCATGTTGAACATTTGTTTTTCTTTTAGTTGCGCAGAGAAAGAAACGCAGAACACGATCCTCGTCCTCCTCCTCTTCTTCCTCCTCCTCCTCTTCCTCCTCCTCATCATCTTCGTCATCCAGCGATGAGAGGGCAAAGAGGAAGAAAAGCAAAGCAAAGAAAAATAAGTTGAGAAAGCAAAAAGCAAAGCTGAAGAAGCAAAAAAAGAAGGAGAAGAGGAAACTGAAAAAGAAGGAGAAGAAGCTGAAGAAGGAAGCAGAAGAGCTCCAAAAGCCAGCAGAGAAACCTACGTCCTACCTGGAGGTGTGGCAGAATGCTGATGGGGAAGAGGACTTCGGGCCTGGTGAGACATACAGGATCAGTGAAGTTATAATAGAAACAGATCATAGGTTTATAGATCTTTGTTAATAATCACTTCTAGAACTGGACTAAAAGCTTTTCCTCTGCAGTCATGACCGATGAGCAGAAGGCCCGTCTCTCCACCAAGAGGCCCCTCACAAAAGAGGAGTACGAGGCCCGGCAGAGCGTGATTCGCAGGGTGGTGGACCCTGAGTCAGGACGGACCAGGTGGGATAGAGATAGTTTACCATTCCTAAGAGATGGGTTTCATGGTTTGAGGTGTGTGATCTATTTTACTTTCATCCAGACTGGTGAGAGGAGAGGGGGAGATCATTGAGGAGATGGTCAGCCGGGAGAAACACAAAGAAATCAATAAGGTAAACCATCAGCAGCTATCACTTTATTATTCACTGCTACACTTCTCTAGTGGCCACATCTGTGAACGTCTGTTTGTCTCACAGCTCGCTACAAAGGGAGATGGAAACACCTTTCAGAGAACACTCGGCATCAACAGATAGAAGAAATCAAAACGGCTTCGCTAAACCACCACTTTCAACAAACTGCTGCCACATTCAGAGAATTCAGCCAAATGTTTTTGAATAAAAACTAAAACAACGGCTTTACATGATGACAAATAGTTTTACTCTTTTATGCCAAGTTTGAGGTTTTTAAATCTTGATTTACTCTGCAAGGATTTGAACAGAACTGAGTTCTGACTAAATGCTTTAAACTTTGATATAAACAAGTATGTTTTATTTTTTACTTGATGTAAAATTAAGTTTAAAACACAAAAAGATTCAAAGTGCTCTGTGTCTGTATTTTGGTTAAACACCATATAGCCATATGGCTTCCATCTTTTATTTTTGTTGTTACTATAAAAAGATGCCAGAAATTTAACTTGTATGGTTTCTTTTTTTAGCCTCGGCAATTTTTTTAAAGTATTTCAAGTTGATCGATTGTTTTTCATGTTTTCTTGGGACATCGGTCTTATAGGAAAGCCTGAAGCCACAGGGGTCAGGACACATCTAACCCTAACCTTCATCCAGCACCTGGTGATGCTTTTGGCTTACGGTCTTAATAAAAACCCATCTTTCAAGTTAAGCCAAGTCATAATATTTTGATTGTGCACAAAAGGTCAACATTTTGACAAAATTCAGATTCCATCAAATGTGTAATCCTAGCTAGTTTTTGTATTTTTCCAAATATAACTTGCATTTTTCATGTTTACAGCTCAAGAGTTGATGAAACAGTTGCAGCATTTAATCAACCTAAGAATAAAATTCTAATTGATGATTACATTAGTCTGATTTGGGTGGAAAATGTATTTGAGTTTGTGCAGTACCCAGTTCTGTCTATAAGGTACATATGAGGCATCTTTACATGTGCACTTATAACAGAACTGACATGATGGTGGGCCTGGAAGTATCCAAACATCACTGCAGCGTTTCTTCTTAAGCAGCAGTTTAATATCATTTACATGGTAACAACAAACACATCTGATTAAGAAGCTGTAGATACCTGTGAACTGGGATGCGTCACAATAATGATCTACCCTCACTGAAATGGTTTAAGTTTTAAAAAACTGTAAAGATGTTTCATTTGAATCTCCCCATATGTGTCAGGGGTTTTAGTGCAGCGATGCAACATTTTAACAGCAAATGTAAAACAAGTTTGGAAGTAGATGCTCCTGTGCTGCAACAAAAACATGACATCTCCACAAAAAGAAGAAGCCATCAGCAACACTGCACACCATCAGGCCAATGCCACTTTATTGTGAGAACTCCACTTTGTAAAATGTGCATTGAACCTGCTGAGAATCCCTCTGTGATGTATCGTCTGTAGAATAGTGCCAGTTTGACTGATTGTCAGTGCACTGTGATGTTCTGACAGTGCTGCTAAATCATATTGCACGTTTCCCCTTTCATGTTTGCTCCCGATATTGGTCCACTGCATTCAGCTCTTAGTGCTGCCTGTTAGAGGGATGAATTACCATCATCTGAATTTTAAAAACGACCAGTTTTAGAAATAAATGGCTAACACCATAAAGCATGTTTCAGCTGTGTTCCTAATCTCAACAACATATTGTACATAATTTACAGTTTGCACAACGTCTTCCTCTAAAGGCGCAACGGAACAAAGAAAGAGACCGTCCCCTATGGAGGGATATCTAATAGCACATTCAATGCCTCATTTACAGCTCTGTAATAACCAGAAAGAAGCTAAATATCAAATTTCCCCCAAAATGGCTAATATCAAACATACAATATATGACATAAGTTCTGATACAACTCTGGTGATCTGCAAGATAAAACCATAAAAATACAATACTGTGCCAGGCAAAGACTTCTGCATTTTGGCTGCTGCAACTCAAGTGGAAGAAAAAATACACAACAAAACAAAATTTACCTTTTTTGTTCAAAAAAATCAATGCATTTTAAATCAGCCATAATTGTAAATAGCAATAATTGTCAACAATCAACAAAATATGTCCTGAATGAGTTTGCGCCCAGAGTAAAGAAGACACTTTAAAATGGTCTTCAGTGGACCAGATACCAGATCTGCACTGTAATATAGTAATTATGTACAAGCCTCGTTGGGGTATTTAATTACATACTTACACAATCGGGTTCATTTTTACATACAAGACCTCAGAGGTCTCCTCTCTGCTCGTGTGCAGAGTACCGCTCTGCTTACTTTGGCACCTCATCTGTACAGTAGTACGTTTTCCTATAGTTGAGTCATAAGTTAATTGGTAAAATGCTATTAAAAAAGCAAAAGTTTCAGCTGCAGTTAAAGGGTCAGTTCAGACTTTGTTTGGTGTTCATGTGACGATGAGCGTTTGTAACTTTAAGAGAACAGATCAAATTGTTTCTACTTGGCTTAAAAATGAGAATTTTTTTAAAATTACTGATCAACGGAAAGTCATTATCGAGAGAACATGAATATGGAGGTGTTGTGCTTGCATGTGTGTAACGTTGTGTTATGTGCTGCGGAATACAGCTCAGGGTGGATTCATCTGTTTCCAAAGCCTGTTGGAGGACAGCAGGCTTTATATTCAACACTGAAAACTATTTACTTAACAGAAGACATGGTCTGGACCCCTAAAGTTGAGTTTTTGTGTGTGTACGTGATTCTGCTCCAGAACTGCTTGTCTTTGTTTAATGTGAATGGTGTTAGTTTATAAGGAGTGGTTTATAGCACCAAAGTGCCCTCTGGTATCTATCTAGTTGGTGCAAACCTGCAGTTTTTCACTAACTGGATATATTTCAACACTGCGTGTCTCTTTTCTCATCTGTAAAAGTCACTCCAGTAGAAACTCCCAGATTGTCTTTATCTCATCACTTTGGGCTAAAAACACCAGAGTCCAGCTTGGTGCTGGTGCTGCTGCGCCCCCAGCAGCTGGCGGTGATGCTCATGCTGCGCTGGGTTGCTCCCTGGCTGTGGCAGTGAGCTCGTTCCAGACGCTCACGCTCCAGACGCTCGCTGTCCGATTGGCTCTGCGTGCGCTCGGGCCTGTTGTGGACGTTGCCTGTCGGGGAGTTGGGGGCTGGCTGTGAAGAGATAGTGCGCAGCAGGTGGTTCCTTTTTCTTAGGAAGTCGCTGTTTGCACCTAAGCCGAAGCTTCCTTTACGGAGGACCATGCGCGCGCTGCTGGACTTGGCTGGCCGAGAGCGGTGGTTGTACTCCAGCTGGGACAAATGAGCTGCATATCCCTCTGTGATGAACTGTGGAGAGAGGAAAGGAAATAAAAAAACACGTTTAAAATAATTTCAATAACTGAAAAGCCTCTATTTAGCTGCTACCTGGCACTGGTTCTGCATCTTTTTTGAGGGCCTGCCGACGATGTAAATTTGAGAAGAAGGAAGGCCGATTGAGGTGTAGACGGAGATATCTTTGGTTGATCCATATCCAGCAAAAATCTTCATGTTAGACTGGAATCAGCCAAGCAAACAAAAAACATAAGTATCTCATTTTCCTTACAAACCAGTACAAACTTTTTATGACTGACAAAGATTGCCTTTACACCAAATCTAACCTCCGTGAGGTTCTTGAGGAAGTTCGCCTTGTGTCTGAGTGGGTCGTGGACCAGACCATCGCAGAAGGAGACAATTCCATGTGGGAAGTTGTGCTGAGATAACCATGCCACCACCCGCTGCTTCTGCATGTCCGGACGCCCGGTTACGTAGATGATCAGGAAACCTAAATCCTGCCAGTGCCTGCCGTGAAAACAAACAACTATGCTAGTAATCTTTCATTTGAGAGGAAAATTTAAAACTTAAGACAAAAAACAAACAAAACAAAAAAAAAAACAAACAAACAGAAGAAGCAGGGTACCTGACAACATCCACGGCTCCAGCCCGCACTTTGGGATCGCTGCCCATGATCGACACGCTGGCAGCAAACGAACCGTCGATGCTGAAAACTACAAACTCTGTGCCACGAGGCACAACAGTCAGATAGCTGTCTGCAAACGTGTGGTCGCCTCTGGGAAACAAAAACATAAGACGAGTGAGAAATAGGGAAAGATGATGACAAATAAAAACACTGCTGGTGTTTAGCATCTAAAGCTGCTGTCACCTGACGACCATCTTAACGGGGTAGACGCCGATGCCCTGACGCTTGTCCTCTGGGATGGTGAAGTACACACGGCCGCTGCTGTTGGTCACATCAGTGCTGAAGTACACCCATTCTCCTGATGGGGGTTGAGTCATGATGTGGAGGTCAACCTGTGTGCAAAAAAATAAATCACATAAACAAACTTTCAAAACCAAAATGACCACAAAGTCTGATTCTTGCTGTTTACCTTCTCTCCGGCTAAAGTCACCATGTCCAGAGGGCCATACATGAAGCGACCCGTTATGACCTGCTGGCTGTCTTCAGTAAAAACAGCATCATTCACGCGATGGTTGGCGGTCACATTCTATCAAGTAAGATCAAATAAAACACATCCTTTGTGAAAATCAAAAACAAAACTTGAAGAAGATAAATGGAAATTGCTGCTTCCTCCAATCTCGCACTCACCCTGATCTTGACGTGAGTCCTCTTGCGGAGCCACTTTTCTCGAGGTTTAGATGGGGTAAACTCAGACACTTCTTTCCCATCAAGCTCCAGAATGCTGGAGTTTTCATGTCTCATGACCTGACGGTGAGATTTGAGTCATTTTTTATGTTTCTGTGACTGATCCTCAAAGCCTGCAGGTCTCGTATGAAGAACGGGACGGGACGTTTGTAAGGCTTACATACCTGCCTCAGGAGAAAAGACACAACATCAGTGGACTCCCAGTAGGACGCGTGGAAGAGGTGTGGCAAAGCCACGGTGGGGAAAGCCGTCAGAGCATCGGGGCAGTACAGAGCAAAGTCTAGCCGCTTTGTGCCCCACCAACGTGCTGCAACTGCAAAGGGGAATGAATCACATCAGGTGCAGATGACATGAACTGGTGGGCTAACACGATGCCACACAAATGTGCAATGCCCTTGAAACTAAAGAAATAAATCCCCCCTGAAAATCATCACCACTTCCAGCAATCCTTCAGCTGCAGGTGAAAAAGGAAGGAGTTTATGACCTTTTTCAGAGGACTCATGCACTAAACCAAAAACAATTAGGTGGTTAGAGCTGATGTGTGATTCAATGAGTAGCAGGTTTTAAACAAGGGTGCCAGAGCTTAGTCCCAGTGAGTAAAAGTGTTCTTGAATCTGTGTGAATTAATTTTGTGAAAGACTTCCAAGGAAAGAAGAAGCGGCTTCCTGGAAGAGCAGCAGTGGGGCTTTGGAAAGTGCAGCGCAGCACGCAGAAAAGACCCAAAGCCTCGCTGCGATTCCCCCTCCCTTTGGAAAGATACCTTGCACGACTTCTGCTTGGGAGTCCAGTGAGACCAGATCTGATATAGCATAGTCCAGACCCGCTGACAGGATGTTCTCGTACTGTGAAGTCGGGCTTAAACTTTCACTAGATTCGGCATCGACATCCAGCTCCATAACCTGGTCTGCATCGGGAGATCCTGCAGCCTGGTTGGCTTCGGGTTTCTTACGGGACTTTGGCGGACTTTTCAAGAAGAATTTGTTTTGTGGCGTTAGGGCAAGTTGGGACAAAAGACTGGACATTTTGGACCGGTTAATCTGCCCTGATTTAGCTATAATGGGGAAAAGAAAAGGAGAAAACCAAACGATAAGATTTTTACAGTTTGAACAGAGACATGCTGAGATCCTTCAGCTGAAAAAAAAAAAGAATTGTTAGTAGTGGAGAAAGGAAACAAGGAAGGAAGGCTGGTGTTTCCGAAGATTCTCTGGCTTTGGAGTCAAATATTTTAAGTGCTTTCTCAGGTTTGTTCTGCGGCTGTGCGAGCTACAAATAAAACATTCCGGCAACAGAAATAAAAACGTGGAAGGGAGGAGGAACTTTGGTGGACAACCAAACAGAAAAAAAGAGCTGATTATCTCAGCAAACATCGTAAACAATGCAGTGATGGTTCTGGGGAGGTGTCCACATGCATTCAAACGTTAAGATAAATGCAGCACTCGGCCACTGCATTTACATTTAGACAGTGGATAAGTGTAAGACAGACAGTGGAAAGTGGCTCTAAGCTTGCTGCTCTGTAGGAATCTGATCCTTTATCAGCATGTAAGCTGTAGCAGAGATGGGGAAAACGTCCTGTGTGTGGCTCCTTTGATCATGTGTACGCGAGTTCTCCAGGTGGTGGGCAGGGTGTGTGTGGAGTCAGAGCAACGAGAGCTGATGTTGTGAGAGCTGAAAAGAGGAACTGGACTGAAGAACAGAGAAGTTGGCCTGAGAGTGAGAGAAAGTGGGAAACTAGCGAGAGCAGTGTGTGAGTGGAAGGGAGGGGCAGAAAGAGAGGGAGAGAGACGGGTTGGTGGTGAGAACACTTACTGTTGGCTATGTTGGTGGCAGTGAAACTGTCTGCCATTCCTGAGACCTGGCTGGCAATGCTGACCTCACTGGCCCTCCTTAGGACCCGGAAGAGGGGGCCCGTTACAGGGGATGAGGGGTACGAACTGTCCATGAAGACACCACCATGAGACTGAACAACATCCGCTATTGAGCCCAAACAAGGAGATCCCATTAGACAGAGACACAGGTAAGGGGAGCTTACGGTGATGGGTGGGAGGAGGGGAGGGGGGTGACAGCAGGCACCATGGTTTCAGAGGACATGTGAAACCACATGATGGCCAACCGACCAACGCATGAGTACATAAAACATGCAAAGTCTGAAACATCTGTAATTTTTATGATTGAATGAGTGTTGATTTTTTTATCCCTGGGGAAAAGATTTCCAAAGAATGTCATTAAAAGCAATAAATAATTTGACTTCGTAAATATTACTAGAGATATTATAAAATCAAATGACCTCTGACCATTTTCACAAGAGGAAAATATTTGTCACGTTAACATCAGGATGTTACACAGAGCTACATATTCGCAGTGCAAACACAACACCGAAAGCAGCACAGGGTGCACATCAGCACGGTGCTCTGAGCTTTGGGCAGCAGAAAAATACCTTCTGGTAACATCGAGAATCTGAAATCACACAGATGATGCAAACAAAACTTGGCTCAAATCGCACAGCATTAACACAAATGCTCCTGCAAACGCCAAAACACACATACACACACACACACGATGGCAACACAGTGACTGGAGCCACAAGATGTTTGTCTGATTTTTTTAGCCAAATATTCCCAAAGAATTACGTCGATTTTAGTTGCAGTAACTGGACTGGATTTTATCAGGAGAACCAGGATTCACATTCCTGATTCTTGAAGCAACGGGAATACTCACAGAACACGAAAAAAATCAGAGCACCTTGGACTTGAGAGGAATTAACGAAGAAAGAAATGGAAGGATGCTGTGAATGAGGGGGTGAGAAAGATGGAAGTGAACGGGAGAGGCTACACACACTCCATAGCGGCGGGTGTGGCTTTGAGGGAGCTCTCCTGCCAGTTAAGCACAGGAACAGGAATGCAGGTCTCACTGATGGTCTCCTGACAGCGGAAGGCCAGGGGGGGCCCACTGTCAAGCAGCAGCTGAGCGTTGCTCTGGACTGTCTCCACTACAGAGGGAGGTGCGGGAGGCAGGGAGGGCAGAGGTGGTTTTAGAGGGCCGGGTGTGCAGATATGGGGGACAAGAGGCCGAGGAAGGAAAGGAGACAAGGAAGACACAAAAACGTGAAAAAACTGAACATGAAACAAGAGTCAAGCCCTTAGTGGACCTCACTACTCAACTGTTCTCTAGTATGAACAATGTCATCTAATAGGAACTCATAAAAACTTAATCAGCTCGGAAAATCTCCTAAGTTTCACAATAAAAACTTGAGAATAACTTTTAAGCCTGAAACAATGAAATATTGTCTTCTTCGCACAACTTGAGAGCACTTGTGCTGCTTTTTAATACATTTTAATGTACAAAACAGCTAATCCTGTTCCAACTAGCTAACTTGCTAATATACAAGTCTTTATCATTGCCGGTGATAGTAAAATGTTGATAAATGGAGCTGGTTGAGGTTCCAAGGGTTACTCCATCACAATAAAAAGTTACAAAATAATAATAATAATAATAAACAAAACAAAAAAATTAAAAGCAGGACCACATTTAGATGATAAACTGCTTTACAGAGGATGGTGAAGCACAAACAGGAGTAAAATGCATCATTTTTCTTTAAGACGAGGTTTACTCTGAATGAACTGTGCTACATTTGCTGTGCATGGCATGTATCGATGACAAACAGGACGACTATCCAGTGTCTGAAGTGTCTGCTGATTTGAACTGAACAGGAGAAAGTAAAGCAGTTTTTAGAACTGGGATTTCTGCATTTGAGTCTCAGCTGTATCACTGGATAGTTGGCGAGGCGACATCACGTCGCTACTGCGGAGAACTCACCCAGCAGGGCCGAGTTGCCATCTCCCAGAGGAAACCGCTGGTAACGGGGTACGCTGAAGGGGGGGAAGAGGTGAAATTTCCGCTCCAGCAGAGGCTCCAGGCGTGAGGCTGAGGGATCAGGTGGGTGGAACAAGTTATAGACCTGCTGACAAGCAGGTCTCAGCTGGGCCACTAGGGGGAGAAATCAAACCACAGACACAGGGGGTAGAGATGAAGAAGCTGCACGAGAGCCAAAACTTTGCATATCTGAAGATACTCACCATCCAGCATCGGGATCACGGTCTTCCTCAAGGCCAGCACCAAGCCAAGAGGAGAGCCAAAGAGGAAAAAATCAGACACTTCAAAGTCAAACTTCCCCAGGGAGACTCCGTCCAACATGGTGCTGCTGCTTGATCGGCGAGAGACCGCATCATTCCGCAGGACGCTGGAGTGCAAACTGGAAATGGAGACCAGACAAACGTAACCTTCAGGAGTCAGGCAAGATCAGCCGAGAGGCTCCATCATCCTACACGAAACACACCTGGATAAAAAAGCCTGGTGCTGTTTAATTGTGTCCAGCTCATAGGTGGAAGAGTCACTCCTCTTGCGAGGCAGCTGCCTCTTGGTCTCGTCGCTCACACTGGTGCGAGGAATATCAATGTTACTGCGACTGAGGTGGCGGCTGCCCTCTAAGGTAGGGGAGGCTGATCCGTGCACACTGTTGACGGTGATACCAGGAGAGAGGAGGTCCTGGTCCTGGTGGGGGATCAGGGAAATAACAAATATATTTAAAAATATAAAACAATGTTAAAGTAAAGCCACAGCAAATAAAGTTCTGATTCTGACCTGCACACTGATGACGCTGCCCCTGCGACTGCTGTTCTGGCTTTCGTTTACTGTGGAACCGCTGTTGCACAAAGCGTCGAATCCCAAAATTCCTCCCACACAATCCCCAATGAGGCAAACCTAAAAAATATCAGGAATAATATACACAGAAAATGAGTGGCTGCACAAAAATCTTACACACGGTAAAAAAAAAACAGCAACAAACCTGGCCGGAGAAAGACGCTCCATCCAGAGACTTTAGAAACTCAGCGTACACCTGATTGGCTCGAGCAATGACCGTGGCCACAGAATCCTGGTACTGTGGCGATGAGGTGGCCAGGAGAGGAAGAGCTGCAAGCGGGATGTGGTCCTGGCTGCTGGACAGACAGCCCTCGTCATAGCTGTAAGGGCTCAAGCTGTAACAGAAAAAGAAGCTCGAGTAATTCAACGATTCCAAAAAGGGTTTTCCAATAGAGAAAACAGCCGGCACACATGAACCCTACAGTCATAACACACACTGCCTGGAGCCGGCAGATTAAAAAAATACTAGTGCAAGTGTCTTCTCTTACTTAGACACCAGAGAGAAGGCCTCGGCACAGATGGCAGGGCAGGGCACCAAGCGGATGGCGATGCGTCCCAGCGCAGCGGGGTAGTGAACACGCATGACTGTGTCAAAAGCTGTGCTGATCGTGTTGATGTCGGCCTGCTTGCTAGTCTGGTCCCCTCCACCTGCATCCAGGATGTTCCCTCCGTGTAGGACCAAGATCAGCACGTGAATCTTAGAGGGCTGCAGACTCTGTTGAGACGAGCTCTCCTGAAAACAAAGAGTTATGATAAAAAGTGGCAAACTTTGACGAACAGCACCTGGAGAATGATTTGTAATCACTTTTAGTTGTCGGTTTGAACATCGTTCTGCCTTTTCAAACACGGATCACACAGAAGACGTCTATTCACCACCACAGAGGGGCAGAGAACCATGCTTCTGGGGGGATTTCACACAACCTTGCGGAGAATAATGTGTAGTTTTGTCTTCTGTGTCGGACTCAAAACTTTCACATTTTCATAGAATCACCATATGCACAGTTAACGCCACAGCTGTTGAGTACAAGCCGGTTGAACAGAGGGTGGTGACGTTCAGGAAGACACACGAACTAGGATTTGGACAACCAAAGGGGGAAAAGGAAGGGCGGTCAGTACACGGATCCGATCTGCCTGTGGGACTATCCTATCCCACAGTGCACTGGGGCCAAAACGTTTACTTACTGACTGGTGCCTTGTTACCAGGATGGTGGGAATGGGAGAGCTATCGGCATGGCCGCTAAGAAAGCTGCGTATCTGAACACAAGAGGACAGAAAGGCTGATATTCTGAGAGCCTCTCTTTCTTCCTCTAAAATTTAACATATTGGGAATTTTACAACAGGTTTTGTCTTTTATTTATTTATTTTGGAAAAGTTATTCCTGGTTAGGCGTTGCATTTTGTAAACATCTGATACACACATACCTCGTCTAATCTATCCTCACTTGTTGCTCGCTCATAATCCGCAGTCATTTCCTTAAAGGGTTCATCTGAAAACACACAAACACACACACGGAGTGAACATCACATCACAAGAGTGTAATTGTGATGAAGCTCCTTCCAGTATTCTTCCTCGTACCAGGAGTTTCCTCTGTGTCTGCGGCTTCGATCTTGTCCATGAGGTCGTTTGAGTTCCATTTGGCTATTTCTTTTGGGAAAACCTCCTCTCCATCCGAGAGATCCTCTAGAGAAAATAAATGGATGATTTGTGTTAGCAAAGTTTCCCAAGTATGCACGGATGACCTCTGCTCACAATCTTAAATTAGGGAACAGTGAAGCAAATGTTGGAGCCTCCACCCCTTGTGGCGCAACACTCGCTGTGGGGGCCATATTAGGTTTAGATTTACAAAGACGAAGTAGAACCTTGCGTAGAATAAATTTAGGAGAATCTCTGCATGCTGGACAGGTATGTCCTGGAACATGTCACCAGTTCACCTCAGATGATAAGATTTTCCAAATTTTTAAAATTATTTATTTTTAAATTAGCTTAGTTTACAGTTCGTGGATTTAATGTGATTTTTATAACACGTTTTTATGTTTGAAATTATATGTGCAGAACTTATTGATACATCAATCAATCAATCAAATTGTATTTGTAGAACACCTTCCTTTGCCTTTACAAGGCACTGAACATGGCATAAAAATCACCAAAGAACAATAAAACACGTAAAAGCAGCATGCAAAATTGATTAGTGCTAAAACAGAGAAGATAAAAATCTAGAAACCATCTTAGATAAATGCCAAACGACAAAAATGAGTCTTCAAGCAACTCTTGAAGACACGTAGTGATGGTGACTGATTGTAAGTGCTAGCTCATTCCGGAGTGTAGGAGCCAAGACAGAGAAAGCCCGATCACTTCTTGACCCGTACCTAGATCGCAGACCACCAGCAGATTTGTCTAAAGCAAGGATTTTTAATTTTGCTAAGCTGCTGAACTGAAGGTAGAAATTAAACCTATAAATAATAAGAATTTAGACACAGAATGTGGCATCTTTAGATTTTTGAGTGCTCTCAAGACTAAACTTTACTTATTTACACAGAAATTTGGAGAACACACATCATTATGGAGTTTTTGTAACAGAGGATCGCCAAACTATAATGCACGTAATCTAAACTCAGTTGTATAGCACAAGCTTAACAAGAACTTTATTCATCAGGTCTTTGTAAGTGACCGAGTTCATTTGGATACATCACAATCTTTAATCTACCATGAATAACTGCTTATTTCATGACTGGGCAGAAATATTTAATAAAATGTGATCTGATTTCATTACAAACTCCAGAAAGAAAAGAATGAATGACGTGCATAAAGAGTTCATATTATTAACAATGTTCAGCTTTATTCTCATTTCATCATCTTCATTTTAATAGTTTGTCATTATGTCACCACACAGCTTTAAGGATAGTTTATTGTTCGACTTGGCATCAAAGAGGATTTTACAACTTGATGTTGGGATGAAACACCTGGTCTGCCAGCTCATCCCAACAGGGAGCGCCTATTTCAACTGCAGCCCCAAAGCATGCTGGGTATCTGGGAAATGGTTAAAGAGATTCATGCAGAGCAACTGAAGAAGAAAGCCAATAATTTCTTTTTTTTGAATAGTGAAAAGTCACCATCACAATAAAAATCTAAGCATTATTTACCATGAGCATCGAAGAACTCTTCGTCCGAGCTGTCGTCTGAGTCTCGTGCGATGCTCTGCATCCTCCATTCTGAGATGCTGTGACGAGACGGGCTCACTGAGAAACACACACAAGCCCAAAAGTCACTGTTACTCGTGGACACACACCCACATGCACAAAAATACTTCAACAAAGACATGTTGCACAATCCAGTACGGTGTTATATAAACATGGAGCTTTCTCTGTGGACCACTACTTCATCACAGATGGACCGTTGGGTAGTCTGAGGTGGTGTGTTAAATGTGAGGCACAGATGCGGCACCAACGCACCCAAAAATCCAACGCCAGCCGGGGAAAATGTCTATATGTCTTCAGCTGACACTTCATGTATCATTAGCGCAGCAGAGGAGAGCGAGGCGGGGGGAGGGGGCTGTGGGGGCACAGCTGTAGCTGTCAGGACACACAAGGAAACAGCAGCGATGGAGGGGAGGGTCACCCGAGGAGCATCAGCCTCCTCGGATCTGTGACGTCAGCACTGATGCTAAAAATAGCTTGACAGCGAACCACCGAGGGGGGGAGTAAAGGGGTGAAGCAAGGCGTGCTGAATGGAAGTCAGGGTCTGTGTGGTAGCGACAGAGAGCGCTACCTAAAGAAAGGATGGCACAAGGGGGTGAGTAGATGCTAAAAATAGCCCAGGTGGGAAGGAGAGCGTTGAAGTTGGACAGTGAATCTAATACGAATGAGTAAATGAGAAAAGTGAAAACGGGGTAATTAATAATGCACGAAAAAATTGACTTTGCATATTAAAAAGCTGCTCCTGATGCGTTTTAATTTACCACAGATGAAGACACAATTTGCACCAGCTGGATATTCATTTATCTCCTGTTTGCTCAGTTTATTTTTTAGATTCAATCTTTTTTCTTCTTCTCATTTTAAAATCTAATCCACGTCTGACAGCGGGTCTAAATCCATCACAGCATCGTGATATTTACACTTTCATGATTTTGTTGCTAGAGTTTTTGACTTTTAATTCCATTCTTTTGCAAGAAAGTAATCAACAGACAAACTGAGGAAAATTTCTCCCTGGCGCTGCTTGGCAAATACGAGATTTGGTCCCTTTAATGCAGAAACACATTTCTACGCTTTCACTTGTTTCGTCAATAAGGAAGGGTTGTCCATCAAGCTGAGCAATGTGAAGGATCTGAACAGACATTCTGTCAATAGAATATTTCTCTAGTTATGTTCTGTAATGTGTGCGGTTGTTGCTTGTGTGTTATACACAGAGGTGATGGACGAACAGCTGAAGATGCTCTTCACCTCCTCTCTTGGATGAGCGGGAGGATCGAGATGAGGTGGACCACTGCTTGGTGAGAACACCTCGTGGCTGAAGAGTCTCCACTGATCTGGTAACCACTTCCTGGGCTTCTATGGCGCTGATCGCCTCTTTGGCCTCCTGGTCTTTGTCTGGAGATGGAGCGCCTCCATTGACCTCGGTGGCCTCCTCCGCCTGGCAAAACTGGGCCATCTTCCTGGCCAAGGCCAGCTGGGTTTCCAGCTCCAGCAGCCGGATGTCCTCAATGGTCAAACCACACCACTCATCCTGCCAACACCAGGCCTGCCGGTGGGCACGCACCATTACCTTTCTGAGTCCTAGAGGCGGACAAGAGGACAAATACACAAGACTTAGATGGAAAGCGAAGGACACCTGTGCTAGTAAGTGTGTTGAATCATCGCATCAAACAAAAGCTTTCAACTTTGTACTCAAATTCAGAAAATCTGCTCACCGACATCATGAATGAAGCGTTCGATCTTGGACTGCATGCCCCAATAACGGAACTCCACCTTGCACAACTTGTAGGCACACATGATGGGCGTCTTTCCTGGGTTATTTTTGTACTCCTCTATCCAGTCGTCCCTCAGAGGTCCCCTCTGGGTCTTAACAGACTTGTATAGCCTGGGGTCTTCCTCTGCTTTGTACTCGTGCGTGGGGATGGGATCTGCCACGATGTCGATTTGGTCTGTCAAAGACAATCAGACTGTCAGACAGCTGTGACTGATGAAATCAAGTGATAAATGATCAAAGATCGGTTTTATACTGTCATGTTTGAATGACAGGGTGGTGGAGCAGAACTTGTTTTACAGATTTACATTCTGTTTTACAACAGAGTGAAGGCACAAAGGAATGATTCAATTAAGTTGTGGAACGTTATGTTTTGATTCTACAGCTAAACTAAAAACTCAAGGGTCTTACCAATGTCCCTCTGTCTCTTGTCTGCTGCAGACAGGTTGAAGACATTTCCTTGATCGCCCGTGTCAGGCTTGTAGTACGTCTCTATATCAATGGAGAACTTCTCAACAAAAGGACAGGTGTATCTGCAAGAGAGTGTGTGTGAGCCAAAGTTTTAATCATTGTTGGTCATTCACATGTGAGTTTATGACATGATTGTGTATATAGGTTTTTATGGGTTTTACAAATGTGTAATTTGGATGTGTTTTTAGAATTTAGAGATTTTAGTGCCGGCTGCTTCACAATGCTGTCTCGAATTGCCCCTCGGGGACTAATAAAGTTGTCTTGAGTCTTGAGTCTTGAGAGAAAAAAACTAATTACAGCAACTGATTTAAGCAACTTAAGCACGAATAAAGTTTATTCAATGCCTCACGCTTTAAAGATGTGGCCAAAGATTAGTCAAAGAGTGACAACACATTCTCCCTCCAACCCTAAAAATGAGGGCTCACTCACTGATCTCACGGCCTGCTGGGTAATATTCTGATAACCTGCACTGAAGTTTCTATACTCTTGACTTTTATTAGTGTTTGAGGTATTTATTTACCTGCAATTGATCATGTATCATAGCTTTACACGTAGACGTAAAAAGTAGCAATTTCTCCACAAAACTAAATGTTTTGCGCCACTGTTTCAAGTCTCCTCCGAAGTAGTTTTCATACAAGAGCCAGTACCTAGTTCGGGTATAAGGGTAGGCATTCCACGACTCCTCTTCGACCCTCAGAGCTGCTTTGGGCAGGATGGAACGGAACCAGCTGGGAATGTGCATGCCGATGTGGTAGACCTTGTGAGTGTACTGACCCGTCCCGCCTGGTCCATCTGTGTAAGGCTTATTCTCCAGGATCTCCACCCCGCTACCTTCGCCGCAGCTCTCTTCTCTGCTCTTTTTCTGCAAGTAAAATCATAAAAACATGAGTTAACATCTGTGTATAAGTAGCACGCAATGCAGGTGTCTGATTTCATGTAAATTCTCATTTTTATTTGATTTGAAAGAAGAAAACGGATGGATAAACAAGCTACATGGATTACCTCACCACAGACCGAGTCAGATGTAACAATGACTACATGGACAGAACACACACACACACATACACACACATTTAATAACTTCCTTAAAGCCAGTTCTGAATTGCAAATAAAGAGGAAGCCCAAAAGCGAGCTTATGGAACCACACCTTTCCCATATTTACATTCTGGGTGCACAGAGGGAATGCTGGGTGGAGTCTGGAAGTGTAGTTGCATGGAGTTCGAGCTAGGTGAGTCAATGGTTCAAAGACCAGAATGTAAGGGAAGGCTGTGGATTGTTAGAAAATCTGTGACAGCAGAAAACTAAATGGCTGAGCATAGTCCAAGTGCTGATGACACACACACACACACACACACACACACACACACACACACACACACACACACACACACACACACACACACACACACACACACACACACACACACACACACACACACACACACACTAAAGCCAATGAAACATAGATGATCATAAATGTAGATCTCTTATCTTACTACCCTACCAGCAGTAGTCTAGTCTTATCATTCATGTTTGCTGAATGCAGCACGATGCCCACTGCACTGATAAACGCAGATACGTGTTTCTCCAGTGATTCAGAGGAGTTGCAAGGAGGAAGTCATGAGGCACCCAGCACTCTGGACCTCATTACCTCTGACAGGTCATTCATTAGCCACCCGTCCAGCTCTCAACAACTCGCACAGCTCCACAGACATAGCACAGACTCCACACAGCATGCTCGTGCAGGCCGAACACACAGCCAGAACATGAGAGAGGCTTTTAACAGTCAAACATGCTCAATTTCAGGTTTCGATTGGAGTAATACATGCAAAAGACGTGTGGAGAATGTCCATGCCTAAAGACTTTTCTTTTTTCTTGCTAACCCTTTCAATGAGGGAGATAAATAACAGGATTAACGTTAAACACATTTGACTTTAAAGGGGACCTAGAATGCAGTTATTCAGTAGTCGAAAACTGATCTTTGAGTCTATATAAAGCATCTAAAATTTTGTTGGAGCTTAAAATGTCCCAGGATCCCCTGAGAAATGGACAACTAAAAAGTGCATAATGATGCTCATTATAAAAAGACCTGTTGTCCCCGCCCACTCCACCAGTGTGTGTGTTTTGGTGGGTGGGTCGGAAGTGGTGGTGGTGGTGTGTGTTGGGGGATTTGAAGAGAAACAAGTGAAAGCAGAAACTAAACTACAGTCAGTGTTTCTCAGTAACCCACTCAAGCCTTATATAAAACTGATTATTACATCTTTAATAAAAAGGGTTTAAAAACAATTAATATTTGAACTACATATAAATTATTTGAATTTATTTGATGTTTTTGCAATCCTGCATATGTTTTGTGTTCAACATTTTATACATTTTGTGATTTTTTATACTGTTTGTTCAATAAAGTTCTGAAAAGAAAAAAAGTCTCCATTGAGTGTGTTTACATGCAGCCAGTAACCCTTTTAAAACCCGACTATTCACAATAACCCGGTTCTGCAGGTCCTTGTAAACACCGCCAAAAACCCGGACATGCTCATAACCGGGTTTTTAAAAACCCAGTTACTACACCTGGGGTAACCCTTTTCTAATCCGAATGTTTGGTCGTGTAAACGCATATCGGGATATCCCCATCAAAGCGTGTGTTCTGAGCATGCTCTGTTCGCAAGGAATCTTGGTCTTTTGAGTAGCGAGACGTCTTGTATGCGCCAGAACAACGGAAGTAAACAACAAGTTGGGAGCAACATGGCGAGTTGCGGCACAGCACCACACTTTTGGAGTGACGAGGAAACCTCCGTCTTCACCGGTCTGGTGAAAAGTATGAACATTATGTCTTTTGTTGATGGCCGAAAGTACAGAGACAGCGAAATATACAAGAAGGTAACCGCATATTGCGTCTTGACGTAGTCCATACGTCCTGACGCTACCCCAACGTCCGCATTTTAATCGGGTTATGCAAGTTAGGGGTAACTCTTTCTATTTATGCATGTAAACGGGTTATTCTGATCAACTCAGAAACCCGAATGCCGACCTTAACCCGATCATAACCCGGACACTGGCTGCATGTAAACGTAGTCACTGAAGCAGTAAGTCAAGAATGAGTGCGTGGCCAAGACAGGCTGCTTGTATTAGGGTTGCAGACTAACAATGATGAAAAGTACCAGACCAGACCACAAGCTATGGATCTACCAGGCATTCACTTATAATCTGGATTTTACCAGTATTTCCTGGAACCTTAGTGGCAAGTGCTTGTTTTTCTCTCTTTCAACAAGACTGTTTCTAGCTGAAGCTAACAGCTAGCTAGGGCTGTCGCGGTAACCGCAAAAATGAAATATCGCAATATGAAGAAGCCCACCGCGCTGCATCATGGGCCACCGCGATTACTGAACTTGGTTCAACTCAATGATGCATGTTGAGAAGGATGGCTGCACTGGTATCAAAACGAAACGTTACTTCTCTCCTTTGGGAGCACTTTGGTTTTCAGTACGTCAGCTGCTGCGCAGCCAGAGTCCTTGGCCGAGACAGAGCTGCCACCAGCGGCAAAAAAAAAAAAAAAAAAAAAAAAAAACGCTCGGAGACCTGCTGAAGTCCCGGACAAGCACTGCTTCTGCAACCGTCCTGAAGAGAGTTTGAGCCGAGCTGGAGCTCACTCGCTACCTGCAGGAGGAATGCATCCATCCTAAAGAAACCCCCCTGTCATGGTGGAGCAACAACCGGGAGAGATTCCCTTTGCTCGCCAGAGTCACACGCAAGTACGTGTGCGTTAGTGCAACGAGCGCACCATCCGAGAGGGTTTTCAGTGTTGCTGGAAATGTTGCCACCCCTCTCAGATCCTCTCTCAAACCGTATATGGTTAACATGCTGGTTTTCCTTGTGGGTAACAAGGACGTGACCGAGCTATAAAGCACCGTCATTCGTGTGTGTGAAAGTGAAATGATAGTGCGCCCGCCCCCCGGCGCGCGCGCGCCCGGTACATGTAATTTTTTATGCTTGATTTTAAACAACTAAACAAAATGGGGACTTGTTTCGTATTTGTTAAATGCTGCAGCCAAATTTGCATTTAAAAGTTTAACCTCCTGAATTTTGTTGTTTTTAAGTTCAGTCGGACTCCGACTGTCGGAGAAACAAACGTTACTGCGATCTGTGTTGTTACTGCCCTTTGATCTGCATTCAGTAAAGTGTTATTAAAGAAGGCATGGCAATTTTTAACCTTTTTTAAATGTGTAAACATTATGTTTAGATAGTACTGCAATAAAAAAAAGTGCTGCAATAATATCGCACACCGCAATATTAAGCCACCCTGAATCACCGCAGGGGGAATTCCTCAACCGCGACAGCCCTACAGCTAGCTGATGCTAACAGAGTCCTGGCTTACCGTGGCTCTGCAGTAGCATTGCTGCAACCAGTGTTTAAATAATGCTGACGCTGAAATGCACTGGAACATGAAGCTGTAGCAGAAGTGGTTACCTTGTGAGATGACTAGGAAGGCTTGCTCAGAAAAGGAAGTTTTTCTCTCGCCTTTTTCTACATTCTACTTTACATAAAAAGTAGGTCACACACGGCTTTGACTTTTTGGTGTGCTACTTTTGACCACCCAAGCTGTCTTTTTCAACAACAAGAGAATGTTGGATTACATTCTAGGTCATCTTTAAAAACAGAAACGAGAGGACAGAGGAGCTTTAAGGTTGGAGCTCTTGTCTGGACTGAAACAACAACTCCAAAATGCAATCAAAAGCACTACAATTAGAGCCGGTTGTGTTGTGTATTCAAAGTTCAGACGCAAATCCTGTGCCACATGAGTTTATTCCTTAAAACAGCAAGAAATCAACAATCACGTCATGGTCTGCTCTTTATGTTTGGATGATCTAACAGGATGGGAGTCACATCCTGAGGTTCTTTCCTTTTGTCGACAACTTGCAGAGGCACGTTTCCTGCCAGGAATGTTGCTTTTGACATCAGTAAAAATATACAGAGTGGCTGCAGTGTCAAAACATGGAAGATGTACGCCAATAAATGAGACACAGGAAGAACAGCTGATATTTAACTCATTGTCTGGTTTTGAATGTGCATCACTGCATTTACCTTTATTTCTATTTAACATCATCTCTTAGAAGGTGGTTATATGAGACTAATTAAGAGACACAACAAATATGTTCTAAGGCCTGTTGAGGTGTGCTGGATGGAAACCAGACACACCTACATGTGGTCGTTTCCCTGGTAACATAAAGTAACGAAGCACAGGCAGGAACACTTTTTCCTTCCTCCCCTGTTCTATTTCTTACCATCCCTTCCACCAGTCTGTCTTTTTATCCTCCATTTCCTCTTTTCATTCACTCTCATGAACAAAACCTGACCACCGGCATGCTGCTGATGTCATGGTTGCCGTAGAAACAGAAGCCTTACAGGACCGAAGCTGCGTGGAGATGTTGAGGTCAGTGAAAAGGTAACCGCGGGTCATGTAAGAGTTGCTCACACGACTCGTTTAGGCATCTGACGGCGAACATGTGAATCACCTGGTCACAGGTGTGTGTAATTATTCTTTTGCTTATTCCTCATGTTGCTTCTCACATTCTGTAGTTGGTACAAAATCTTAATGCAGATTTAAGTTTCATAGAATTGATTCCACACTTGAATAAAATCAGCTGGTTTGCAGTCTCTTTGAAGGTTTTTTGTACACTTTAAACTGCTGCATGGTGACACTGTTGCCTTGCAGTAAGAAGGTTGCTTGTTCAAATCCCAGCTGCAGCCTTTCTGCATAGAGTTTGCATGTTCTCCTCATGCATGCATGGGTTTCCTCCCACAGGCCAAAATACATGCATGTTGGATTCATTAACTGCATTACTATATCTACAATGGCAAGTTGCTTTGGGTAAAAGCATTTGCTAAATAAATGAACAACAAATTTACAATTATCGATCTTCAACATGTTAGAAGGTCATAGAACTTAGGTAAACTTGTGTCAGGTTTGCAGGAGGAAGCAAAAGTGAACACGTCATGAATTTGCCTGAATGCTGATTCTATCTGACACTATGTCAAGATTCATTTCTGCATGTCTCGTGGTGTCTGAACTAGTCAAAAAGTCAATAACTGATTAAACTCATATGTGATCTGTTCTTTAACTGCAAACCTTACACTCTGCTCGGTGCCACCGTATTACATAAATCCCCTTTCATTTGCTTTTGCCACAGGAAGAGAAATTATGCCACACAGTCTAACAAAAGCTGGAACTGCCTACTTGCACCATTAAACCAGAAAGCTTGATGGAAACACAGCTAAGTCCATGCTAAGTTTGAGCCTAAAGACGTCTAGTTTCCTCCTGCAGAAACATGCAATCTGTGACAATTAAAAGCAAATCAGCTCACAGATTTCAACTGGATAAGCTAAAAGCATAAAACCTCCCTTTGTGGTTTTAGGCTTCCAGCGTCACGCAACTTGTGACAAATCCTTTTGTAATTGTTTGGTTTTGGTTCATCTTTCTCACTGCTGGTGTTTCTGGCTTTCTTGAGTTTGCTCACTTCTGACCGTGTGTGTGCATGTGTGTGTGTGTGTATGTGTGTACAAGAGATGAAGGTTGGGCCGTTACCTCACCTGGATCATATAGAGCTGGGCGATGCGGTACTCCTCCACACTCATGGGCATGGGGATGTGGTACTCCTTAATGAGCATGGTTGAATCTTGGAGAACAGGGAGACTGGATAAGGGAGAAGACTGACAGGGGAACGGGACAGGGAAGGGAAGGGATGGGGAGAGGGGTGAGGAGAGACTTAAGTCACTCCTATATGTGGCTCGTCAGTTCACCAGCTGAAGTCCGCATTGACAGTTCCTGTCGAGGGAGGAGAAAACACGAGAATGAGAATCAGCAGTCATTACTAGATTAAATAAAGGCTGAAGATAAATGTTCAAAACCAACTCGTGTTTCTTTAAACACGTCTTCATCACCCAGAAGCAGAAGCCAGTGGAAACCATCCAACGTGTCAAAAGACAGGCTTAAAGCAGAAGCTGCAGAAATCCTCACAAAACAAGCCCGAGGATAAAAATTCTCACGGCTCACTCGCTGAGACGCGTAAAGCCAGCGCTTGCTGAGTCCGACCGCTCGAGTTTGAGCCGTCACACCTCCAACTACGGCGTCTACCAGAATAACAGTCCCTTCTTATAAACTGGCCTCTCTGAACAGTCTTCCCCAATCCTCTGGCACAATCATGTTGGGGGGCTCGCTCAGCGTTAAGAGGGATTAAACTTGTGTGGGGACTTTTGCATAACTTTGCACCGAGCCCCCGTGTGTGTGATTATGGTTTCTCGAATAGCTGCTTTAGAGCTACACAAAGCTTTGTTTTTCAAACCACTGGGCTGATAGAGGTAGGTGTGGGCTATACATACCCAACGTGTGGGTGGCATGAGTTGCAGAAAATCTGCTTTGACCACGAGGAAAGAAACAGCTCTGTTAAACTATAGTATGAATCAATGTGGTAACTCTTCACCTCTGAGCAGAGCTGTGGAAAGAGATCAACTAAGTTAAATGTCCCAAGTGTTAGCTTAGCCAACACATTAACTGAAGTACAGTTGGTATAAAAACTATCCACCAGGAGAAAGAATTCTAACAGAATGAGTAATGCTCACACAAAGACAGGCTTAGAGAAAAAAAGATCACTTAAGTGCACTTTTCATGTACTGTGGCTAAAAGCTCAAATAGCCCCTCAAATGATAACAAGCAGATACTAAATGGTCTGGTGTGTTTGAATTCAGATCTGGTGATATCACACTAAATCAGGACTCCGTACTATAATATAAAGTGGAAAATAACTCCAGGGTGTTAGCCATGGCTCCATTTGGTTGTGAAATGCGACATCACAGCATTGCATAACCACAACATTAACTACTTTCTGACCTATGGCAGCAGCTGGAAGTAGCTTTAGAGCCCAGCCATTTCGGCTAATTGCTCTAATCACTCTAATAGTCCCACAGCGTCACTTACACAGTGAACAAAGACCAGCTCTGGTGAGCTCCTGCACAAACCAATACTGGTCCTCCACCTATTGGCTGACGTCTCTTGAAACACCTCGTTGAACCCGGTTGGATCTAATAAGCTGCCTGATGCCCTGCTGCTGTGATGAGGATGCAGCTCGTCCAACTTCTGAACCTGGAGCAGAGCTCACAAACACGGTGGGAGGTGGGCTGTTTAAAAGAGTGCTAACATTTTCTGTTGCATTCATTATTCATGTAGAACCTGGGGTTTACACTGAGGAACAATGCACTAGGAAATCAGAAGAGAACACCACCTTTTGCTGGAAATAACTGCACTCTTGAGAACGACTAAGAAAAAACTAGGCTTGCTGTTAAGTCCTGAAGAAAAGCCTGTGGCTCAGGAGCCCAAGAGGTCTCAAGAAAGTACAGCCAAGATGTGAAGGGGAGGATCACAGTGCCCCTCCTTGCTGAGGGTGGCTGAAAAACCCGCCCCCTTCATCTTGAAGCGTTGCACGACGAAGCTGCAGCCAGCTTTTCAGTGTTTCTGAGAAGTTCCCTCTCACCAGAAACTATGCATGTGTGAACACTTGTATTATTGTATCTGCAGAAGAGTGACAGGTGCATAGTTTCAGTCAAAATAAATGACAACAGGTGTGTTAAAAGGAGCAGCAGACAGACAGGAAAACAAAACTAGTTTTCTGCTTGGTTCATCTTTGGGTCAGCCTTTGTCAACCAGGGACCATCAATACTAATGAAAGATGGATTTCTTCAACAAAAACATGCAAAATAAGATTGACAAAGTTAGTGTTGATGTTTAAAGTATGCAATAATCTGAAAAATGTGTTTGCACCCAACTAGATTGATTTCAATCCAGATTAAATTGTTTCCATGTAGCTATTTATAAAGATGGCTGTGAAAATAATCCAGATTTGCAGTCGTGCATCTCTGGCTCTTTCCTTTGAAGTTGATGCATGTGCAGTGGACCTGTGCAGCCCGATCCACCAGCATTCAGTGTACGGGCACCATGCTTGACCCAGAAAAAAGGCACTCTCACACACAGAGTTCAAAAATAGCTCAGTCACAATAATCCAAGCATACGCAAGCAGAGTGCTTTGACGTTTGTTCAGAGAATATGCTCATTCCCAGCTAAAAATACGGCCCCAGCCCCCCGTAGTCAGTGACGCTGCGGTGGCACACGCCGACGCTCAGGGGCCCATCACAAAGCAGCCCCCAATGTCTCCGCTTGTGTTTCAGCAAACCGAAGCGAGGGACAACTACATGATACTTTGTGTTAGGCTGGCTTTCCCTCCTCTCCTCATCATCGTTCCAGTCATCTGTAAAACCTAAAACTGTGTCAGTGCCAGCATGCACCCTCAAGTGTTTAAGTGTAAAGGTGTGTTGCAGTGAATTTTAATGCAAAACCTAAGAATCTGACTGTTAAACAACTCATTTGATTTTACAAGAGTCAAAGTGCTAATTAATCATCACCTAGAATCTTGTCAGAAGGATCCAGAGGAAGCCTGTTGATGCTATGATGCCTAATACCACAGGAGTCAAAGGGTGATGACTGTTAACACAACTGGATCCATGTGATACAAACAGAAGAAGGACGCATTTTCCAGGAACCCAACTGTATATATTTCCATAACGGACTTAATGCTTGGGAGGTAGACGGAGTGCATTGAGACAAAGAGCAACAGCTGGGCTTTGCAGTCAAAGACGGAACAAAATACTTGGAAGGGGAGTACAGAAAGGGGTGGGGCGGGGTGTCTTCAGTGTGATTGCCTGTCTGACTACTGACTGGAGGAAGGACCCCTTTAAATGTTAGCCATTCCACTGCTCAACCTGCTAATCATCAAGTTTTTATTATGTTGTTCTAATATTGTCAGCAGTGACAAGTGTTGCAAACACAGCTTCGTCCTGTGACAACAACTCTTCAGGAAGTTTACGGGCCCAACCACCACCAGTGAAATTATGTAAGGACAAATGAAAGACGTTCATCTGCTTAGTTTTGGTTTCAATTTACTAATCAAACAGTTTTCTGTCACGAATTGGACATTTGACCCATGTGACAGGTATTATGAAACAGAAACCACTCTGATGAGTGCTTAGAGAAAAAAAGGTCACTTAAGTGCACTCTCACACACAGAGTTCAAAATAGCTCAGTCTTGAGTGGACAAAGAGCATGTTTTATTTTATTTGTGTTCAATCAAGAACAAACAAGAGTTAGTCAACTGTCATCTTTTCATCCCATTTAAAAAGCAGTCAGGATTCCTTGTGTGGTAAATAATGCAAAGCTGATAACCAAAGTGATGTAAGAACACATGCAGAGATCTCTTTGTCAGTCTGAGGAGAATAAACTAAAGAAAACAGAGTATTTAAATAAAAACAAATAAAATATATTACAAAATTAAGGTCGTGCTCTTGTTACTCACGCCCTTTAACTAACTGCAAAGTTTAGATGTGCCCCTGTTCTTTACTCTTTATTGCAGTACAAGGGGAATGCTAAAAATACTTGACACCCAGTGTGCATCTCCTCCATTGTGTTCCTTCTCCTGCTCCTCATCCTCTTCCTCCCACTGCAGCCCTGCAAGGATAAGAACCGCTTCTAAAAATGATCCTCAGACAGAAGCGAGCACCCACCTAGCATAAGGAGGAGCTGAATCTCGACAAAATTCTAATGAATCCTTAGCAGATGGAACTGGAATGTATTATAATGAAATTCTAGCTTGAAGGATGTCACTTCATGGCACAATTATTCATTTGAAAAACAGATGATTAAAAAAAACACCTGATACATAACATAATCGCTCCAGCATTATTACCTAATTAAAACAAAATAATTTGCATGCGCACACTTCCTCATCTGAGCCAGACAGCAGGTCCTTTTGCTTAGGGCTCCTGGACATCCTGCTATGGGATAGACACGTACAGAATTCCCAAACGGAAGTGTGTTGCACTTTAGTCAGCGATGCAATTGTTTCACTGACCAGGAAGGCAGCAAGTGAATGGCTGTGAAATTGGACTGTCTCACCTCAGCGTCGACGCCTTACAGGTACATCTATCTGCTAGCCATATGCTCTGTCGCCTAGCAACTGTGATAACGCTAAACAGAAGTTAAAACAAAATGCCAATAAGGGACCCACCATACGAGCTACTTCTGTCCCTAACAAGAGGATTTTTTCTACAGCCACAGACAATCTAAGTGCCAACAGGTCTGTCCTTTCTGCAAATGAATTTGTCTAGCAAAGAAAGATGAAGGTTGAATGAACCTGAACAAGGCTACAAGCTGGAACTCCTAATGTTGCACTTAGAGAAATGCAGAGTCAATTTTCTAAGCATTTGTACATTATTTTTATTTTATTGTAAACATCTTTATGTAATCTAACAATATTTTGTTGGGGAATTAACAGCAAGGGACGTTTTATTTTAAAGTCTCCACAAAAGAAAACTTGTTTTTAAAGGTGTAAACACTTTTAAACCTTATTTCTGTTCTTAATCGGTCATTCTGAGTTTTTCATGCAGGCTGAACATGAAAACAGTCACCTACACCTATCTCCTGCATTAGCTTCTGATATAAAACAGACGGTGAAAATCTAGGATTTAAAAAACCTCACAGATCTATGTCACACTGTCACTTATCATATGTGGACTCACCCATCTCGACTCATGATGGGGAAGGCTGTTGTTGTTCTAGGATCAAGGACACAATAGAGAATGTTCGCTAGTAGAAGCTAACCATTAGCATTTGCAACTTCACCACATTGCAGAACTCCTCTAGGCTTGAGTTATTTGTTGAGATAAAACATCCATTTTGCAAGTTAATGGTAACGTAGCATTGATGTTATCCAGATCAGGGTG